TGATAAAGATGTCTATGGAGAGAACTTTTCAATTATTCGTTGTAGCAAGAAACCAAGGACAAAGTCAACTTTCAAAAGTGTATTCAAACGAGGGTTGTTAGGTGAGAAATGTAATCTTGAGTATTATGTTAACTAAAGCATATTGACCTCAACCTTTTACAAGAGAAAGAAATTTGTAGGGATTAAAAGTCAATCAGCTACGCTTTTTTTTCTTAAGAAGTTCACGTACATTTGAGAAAATATATGATTTTTAATTGTATGATAGAGAATATTATTACAAAGAATAACAGGGTTAAGGTACCTTGAGAGGCCTGCAGGTCAAACATTCTCACTCTGTGGGCTTTCTGTTGGGAGCGCATTCATAATATAAATATAGCAAAATAAAAGGCAGCACTCAGAAAATAAGAACTATTTACCATCAATTTGAAATAAACTCCAGTTACTTGCACCCATACAATTTGTTTACACAAAAGACATTTATAAGATCAGCTTTTGACGTCACATCTTGTCATTGATTCATCTATGAGAGAACAGTTTGACTTTATTCCTCCTGGTTCTGTTACTCACCTCTCACTAACCTTGGCTTCCCCCTGCTCCTTATATGTATATAACGTTGAAGCTAAGCAGTGCTCTGCCTCCTACATATGTATAACACTTAACAGTACGCGCAGCCTGTCTACTCTTTGGTTAAGAATTATCCCTTGTAAGAATTGACACAGAGTGAAGTAAAGCCACAGTGTGCTTTTCACTAATCTTTCACACATACTGTACGTCCACCAGTGTGCCTGCAATGCAAACATTAGGCAGACGTAGAGGATGGATTCAGGTGGAGGCTTTGCAGCAGCTGTTTGCTCTTTAAAGTATTCCCTGTTTGTGCTTCCTGGTATGACGGAGCTGCTGACTCGTGTAATAACTCCTTTGGGGTCTTTTGCCCTGTTTTACCAATGGTTTGCATTTTTCACAGCCCGGGAACATTTGCCAATAATCTTAATCATAAATATTCTAGAAGCAATGTGAAGGGGTTTGCTGGAATATATCCCATGCTCATATTTCATTTTCTCCTTTGAAAAATGTACTTCCTCAAAGCACTACAGCATAAATAGCAGGTCGGTCTGTTGGCAGTTGTCTTGTGCACATATTGAAAGATTACGCAATAGATCTCTCGGGGAAAACTGACCACATCTTATAACATACACCTGAAAACATGCGCCGTCCTCGTCTGTTAAATTCTTTAATTGTGGTTTTGTGATTGGCAGGAAGGTGTCAGGATTCATTTAACTGGATGGTTTCCACCATGTTTTAAGAGTCAGATCAGCATCAGCAATACTTTATTTTATTCCCCGGTCTTATACACAATATAAAAGTCAGAAATATTGAACATAGTTGGAAATATGGAGGGCCAGGGTGTTTGAAGAAATACATCTATGTAGAAAAGGGCAACGAGATAAGAAATAAAATGTCTTCAAGCACAGGGAATTGAATTAAAAAAACAACATATACAAAGCACAGTATTGAACAGTTGAGATATTGTCCAAACTATCGCACATAATGACAATTTCATCCAGTTTAGTATCTGCACTGCATTGTATACAACAGGGATAGACACCAAGCTAGACTCAGAGGGGGGATCACCAATTAAAAAGATTATTTTATTTTGACAGCTGAACCATGTTATATGTAGAAATATTAAGGATGAAGAAGACGTAAATGTACTTTTTAAAATTTTGTTCACCCTTGAGTGAAGATCAGCCAACTGCTCAGAGCTTCAATTCATCATCCATAGAAATGATGAATACATCAGGATCAAACTATAATCTTTTCACCTGTGTTTTATTCACAATTTCCCTTTTGTATTCATCACTTTTAAGACTTCACTGACCTAGAATTACGTAGGTAGGGAAGACATAACCCCGTATGTATGAAGATTCCTCCTGAGAAAAGAAACCGATATTTTACTCAAGTTAACCTTAAAAATATACGTTGTTTTTTTTAAAAGCGATCATCTTTTGCTCTGGGCTGGATATTTTTCCAACTCCACATGATTACTCAGTATGGAGTAGTAGCTGCATCACTGCACACAGACCTGCCGACACTTAATTGAGTTCCTCTGCAAGGTCCCCAAACACAGCCCACCGCCCCTGAACACAAGCACCCGAAACCCATACCGACTGTGCCCCCCGTCCCTGGTGAATACCTCGAGGAGAAAATTGAGTCCATGTCAGCAGCCACAAAGGGACCTACTCTCAGGTGATCTGTAACCATTATGAACATGTTCTAAGTGAATAGTGAGAAGGTGAGCGTGGAGTTCAGCTCCCTGCAGAGTTCAAATTATTTAATGGTTCCCCCGAATTGTACCTTAAAAGAAGAGAAATCTACTATTCCACTCATATTTGGCCACCAAACTGCCCAGGTTCAAGAAGATATTTTTTACTTCTTCCTTTGCTTTGAAGGTTACAGAGCAAACCACAGAGGAACACAGGCTGCTACTGTTACTGTTATCCCTACAATGACAAATTGTACAGCATTATTTCATTGTGCCGCAGTTGTCTGTTTTGTCAAAGTATCCTGATTTCAGTCGGGATGTCTGAGGACAAATCCTATATCGTTAGACAGGAAGAAAGCCTCTCCACAGAGATAAGAGGCTATGCGGAGATCTGTCAACTACATCTGAATATGAGACGATCCGGGCTGCAGGCCAAATACAAGGGTGAAAGAAGGAACAACTGCTCTGCCTGGGATCAGAACAAAGTACAACACCCATGCTGCGTTTCATGCCCGAGCCATATAAGTTTACATATGGATTTTAGACTCAGACAAGCCATGTGAGAATCCGTTTTATGCATCCTTTAGACTTAATCTGTGGCTAGACGGCCTTCTGCTGATGTAATAGAAGAGGCAATCAGAATGAAATTCTAACATAGTTCCAGGTTATAGATATTTTGGGTCCTGCTTCTGTATATAGGTCTTCCTGTAGCTGATTATTGGGGAGAGGTAATCCTCCTTCACTGTGAGCACAGCTCTCAAACTTAAAAAATATTTTTATTTTTGTGCCAGAATGTTCTTAAGTGAACAACAACCTTCATATCAAAAGAAATCACAGCTGTTTGCAGAAAGTGCTGCATGTTTTTTTTAGCCCTGTACTCTCCCTCACAGTCGTACATGCACAGACCTGTTATCACAGTCTTGCATGTCTGACCGCTCTAATGGAGTTCCTGGAGATTAAATACCTTGATGCAGGCACCTTGATGAAAGATTTCTTTTTTTTTTTTTCCTCCCTCACTTTTTTTGGACTAAATTTAGTTTGAATAAGTTTTCTACTATTCAATGATCCGACATCTTTGTGTGCAGTTCTTTCAACCCCCTTCTTTTTCTCTGCCATAGTCTTCATGTTGTGGAAGCTGTTTCCATCCTAACTTTTCTAAATACCTAAATCTATATATTTGATTAATTGTGTTCATCACTGTAGACCTGCCATCTCCTGCGTATTCCTAACCTGCAGTAAGGTATCTTCTGATTCACCCAAGGCCCGAGTTACAATCATTAGTGCTGTTCTAAGGATTTAATCTTAGCACTTTGGCCCCAAGGAGACATCTACATAAAAGAGAAGAGATAAAAGAGATTACAAGTTTGAGAGCTTGCTGATAATAATACCTCTTGAGGGCCATCATGTTTCCTCTTGATTAACACCGTCCAGAGGTTAAATTGGGATTTATTATGAGGGCAGGGGGATGTGGGGGGTTTTATTTAGGATTATACGCACAGTGAAGTGAGGCTTTGTGTCAAATATGTTGTATTTGATCAAAGTTAGTTTGCAAATAATATTGCAGAGCACTTAAATGATCTTTGCTTATTAAAGAAAGCACCTCTGTCACTGGTTTGCCACCAAAAAAAACGCTTCCAAAACTCAAAGTCATTTTTTTTTATTCTGAATATCACATCACTGAAGTGCTTCTTCAGAGGTGACTGTCTATTTCAAGGCTAAATATTAAACACATTACATTAAAAAAAAAAGCTTAGAAGTTTGAGTTTTCCACAGTATAAAACACTTAGTGTGAGTGTCTGATGTTGTAATGCCAGAATTCTAACTTTGATATGATACTAGTAAAAACCAAACATTATGGATACTTGTTTGGATACCATGGCAACAATGATAGAAGTCCTATGCACCAGATATTAAGTAATCTTCTTTTACATTACAAAAAATTGCAAGCACACTTCTGCCAGTGTCTCAATTGCTGAAATACGCTGGCAAATTTCAGGTATAAAGCTTGGGTACTTTTTAAAATCTCAAAATGTGTATGTTTTAATATTTAAAATAGTATTGAATAACAGTTTATCCAATTTGAACAACCTTTTTCTCATGCCTCGATGCTGTGTACTAGGATGTACCCCGTCCTCTTGACAGTTGAAAACATATTGTTCACATTTTGTTAATCTTCTAAAAACATGTCAGTTTATACCTTAGAGAGCAACCTTTCACCTGGAATCATACGTTGTGTGTTGTCATGGACACGCTGCTACATTCATAATGATGAGTTGGATTATTCAAATAGGTTTGTTTAGCTTGCTAAGCCTAAAGCGGCTCATTTATGCATGAGTGCCCAGAGGCAGATAGCAACCATCCTTCCCCTGTCCAAACCTGAGACTCCCCATGCCCTATAAACCTGCTATGATAATCAATCAGAGACAGGAAGTGAATCTTTTTCATTTTAGCCTCAATTTAAAATCAAAATCAAACCAGATCTGAAACTCCAGTATCATGTTTTTCTGTTCTTTTCGTTTGTGTGTGCATTCTGAGCCTGTAGCACCTGAAATGTGTTTGCTCTATTTCTACTCGTCTCTCTCCTTTCTAGCTCAACAGCCCTGATGCACTCAGCACCTCTTACAGCAAATTAGAGCCACTCTGCCAGCAATCTTTTTGTCAACATGTTTTTCCTCTTTTCTTTTTCTCCCTCTTTTGTTTTCCGCTGTACTTAAAACCTTCCTTTGCTAATTTTCAGAGAACCAGATCCCCCATGGCTTCCCCACGATCGATATGGGTCCTCAGCTGAAGGTGGTTGAAAGGACCAGAACGGCCACCATGCTGTGTGCCGCCAGTGGAAACCCGGACCCGGAGATCTCCTGGTTCAAGGACATGCTTCCCGTGGATATCAGCAGCAGCAACGGCCGCATAAAACAGCTTCGCTCAGGTACAATTTGATGTGATTTGATTTGATTTCATGTACAATTGCATTCGATCTGAGTTAATTCCTTTAAGGTCCTTCTTACATGACACACTGATGATGTAAAGGAAAGCTGCAGGGTACAATCTGCCATCGAATACCAACACGAGTCATGAGGATGATGTGAAGCACAAAGGGCCTTTGTTGTCATGTATGACTTCATATAGTCTCTTTCATCACTAAGGACTTGAAAGTTTGTTACCTTGATATGTTAGCCGAGTTCTTGCAGATTTAGTTTCCTCACATCACTGTCAGTTGCTGTAAACTAACACAGAAGTTGGAGTTTAACTTGTTCCTGCTTGTTTGCAGTCTTTGACAGTGATGCATGAGTTTGTAACCTTCCAAAGTACATGAAGGGAATTTTTCACCATATTAGATAATCCTTAATCCCCCTTTTAAACATGCAGGCGAGCCAGCGATGCATTAGCTACCATTCAACCTTGCAGAGAACAAGAAAAAAACAAAAAATCAATGAGCTGATCTTTGTTCACAGTATCAGTCCACTTGATAAATAAACAGTGGCCACCTGACCCGGATCAGACAGAAACGGTGCAAGGTGGAAAGATTAGAGGCTTTTGACCGGGCTCACTCTTGTCACTCCTTACTAAATCTACCTCACTTAGAGAGTGTCAGCCAGGCTGCAGGTCTGAGGCCCCGAAGATTAAAGATGAGAGCCACTCCAGAAAAAGCCTGGCGCTAAAGCTGCCCAGTGGAAGCTGGATAGAGGTCAATGGGGCGCTTGCACTGTCCATGTTCCTGCGATATTAAAAATGTGGCTCAAAGTTCAAGAACACTAATACAATGACTTCATCATTTTTGTTATCATGTGACTGTGAGTTGTTTTTTATACTTCCTCCTACTAGGGTTGTCACAGGACTAGCATTGTAAACTTATGCAACACCTTTTTTGATACCACAGCAACAAAAGGAGTCCAATGTTGAGTATTGCAAACAAACTCCAGCACACTGTCTAAATAGCATAAATACATCGGCAATGTAATTCAGACAGTGTTATCTGTTATATTCCAGTTGAACCGACCTGTGATCAGCTGCTCTTTTTCTGTCTCAGCAGTCTAGGATTAAAACTAAGATTGAGTGAAGCTCTGTCTTTTTTAAAGTTTTTTAAAGCTTTGATACTTTTTTATACTATCGAACATTAAACCAACAGAGATTGTGTTGTTTTAAAACACAGCGCATTGAAAAGACTCAAAGTATCCAACATTTTGTCAACCTTATTACCAACAAACTTTTTCTTAGTTTTCTTCCTTGTATATTGTTCCTGAAAAAGTGCTGATAAGTAATGCCCTCAGACTAACTCTTCTTATTATCCACCGTCCTTAACTTAACTCCTCCTGCCGTTAAATGATTTACATTTCTGCACATGACCCAAAGCTGAGGCACGGTGATTTTTTTTTTCTGATGGCAGAGAAAGATGCAGTCATTTGCTGCCACAGTTAACTAGAAGAAGGAACGCCGTGGTCTTTTTCTCGCATCAGATTTGCTCGATTTTGAGCGAGCATGCCGACTGATTAGATCTATCTTCTCACGCCAACCATGTCATTTACTCTGCACAGATACTAACTTCTTTTCAATTTAATTCCTCTGACCTGAATACGTTTTCTTTGCATCACTCTATTTACTGTGTATGACTTTCATTCATTTCTCTTGCCCATTTACACTGACCTTTCTGCTTAAATGCAGTCTGGGGCTTGTCGTTAATTAGATATTTTTAATACCGAAAAAGTGCTGCTGTGAGGCGAGGACAAATACAGATTCAGCATTTTCATATTGAAAAAGTAGACATTTCTATTTTAAAAAATGGTTCCCTAACAGATGAGATCCTTCTCAAAGGTTGTGTTTTTTTTTTCTGTTTGTCCATTAACATACAAGGACAGTCGAACACAGCCTTCACAGCACTGATTGAGTACACTGAGCTTTGTCATTTTGCATTAAAGTGGCTTCTACTCTGTACATTTTTTTCCTACCTGTGGCCTGTCAGAAGCCATGTATTTCTCTCCCACTGTTGTAAGTGGATTACTAACTAATCTTTCAACCCTGTTTGCATCAAAATTACTCCCACCTAGGTGGTACACCAATTAGAGGTAAGGATGATGAAGTGTGTTGGAAAATATCACGTCCACACCATTCCCTCACAACCATATCAGACCCCTGCTGCACCTCCCTCTCCCCCAAAGCCACATCACCAGGTTCATCCACACTGTCGGCGCCAACCCACTCCCTTCTCCACTCCCCCCTCCTCCCACTCATTTCCTCCCAACCTGTTCTGTCTGCTGTCTGAGCCTTAACAAACACATAATCACCAACCCTGACGTCAGGAGAACGGGGATGCAAAAGTCCAAGGTGTTATCTTGCAGATGAGCCTTTTCAAGGTTCCTCCTATAAAAATTAACCACCTCTATAAACAAACATGCACACGTTCAGGCAGCTTCTCTCCACTGGTTTTCCGGCTGAAAAGCTGCATTTTAAACTAAAGGCCACCATTTTCCACAAGAGGATCTACCTGCGTCCCCTATGCAGCCTCAATGTAAACTAAAATGGCTGCATTTGCATACAGCCTACTGTATGCAGCATTGCACGAGAACAGGAGGGCTGGTCGGGATTGCTAAGGTGGAAGCGTCAACCTTTTTTATGGTAATCATCTGCTCTCCCCACAAGTCAAGGACTGCTTTCTTTGCAACGACACTGAGGGAAATAGCGGATGTCTGTGGTAAAAGCTGAATACATTTTGAGCTACCTGTCTGTCTCGGTGTCCACAGCTCTCGTACAACAACCCACATTCAATTAGATCTTTAACTCTTTAGGAGTGAAGGCAGCCTTGTGGCATCCTCTGTGCCACTAGTGTAATCTCTGCACAGGGAGACAGTGGAATGACCTTGCAGAAGATCTGCCAGTGATTGAGTAGTTGGGAGTACTTGAAGGGATTTAGTGTTGCAGCGGTGACAACTGCCATCGCGGTAACCTTCTCCATTTCCTGTAGTATACTCCTACTGTTGTGTCCCGTGGGGAAAAATGGGCAGATTGACAGATTGGTGACAACAGCATTAGTATTCAGGTGCATGTCAGTGCTGAATCAGACTGCGATGAGCTCAACATGCAGAGCAAACACCTTGGAGAGATGTGTTGTCATGGGATCTCCACTGGTAATATCACACGTCAGCGCCCCGCCCTGTTTCACTTCTCTTCTTTGGTCTCGTCTTGATTCGAGTCCCCCCCCCCCCCCCCGCCTACGGTTGGTGGTACCTGTTTGTTACATTCATCTCATACTGCATGATGTACAAAAAGTGTATCCTGACATCGTCTTATGCTGAGTATTTTTGTCATTTTCAAACTGCATGGTGGCTGGCCGCCTTTCATGCTCGTACCATGCTGTTTTGGAGACGTGATAGCAGCTATCACTCACTTGTGACATACATACTTGTACTGCTGTGAGAAGTAGTTTCATTGTTTTTTAAAGTGTTGGTACAGGTAAGATTGCTGTTTTAGAGCTTTTTTTCCTCCTTTAAATTTGAGAGATTATACTTTTTCCCATCTGTCAGCCATTTGCAATTCAGTAGATGAGATTATCTCGTGGTTATTATGGACATGGGGTGTCAAAATAACCAAATCAAGAATTCTCTCCTGGGCTTTCATGCTTTAAAGGAAACAACATGTTAGGCTTCTGTCTGATGGCTACAGCTACTTGGTGTTGTGAATACTAATCGTAGCCATCTGGCAGAGGATCGTTTCCCTCAAGGGCTTCGTTGAGACTTGGTCAAATAGTTTGTAATAAAAGAACAGAATAATGACCTCACTGCTCAATGTAACCACAACAATTGAAAGAGGATCCCTGTACTCCCAGTTACCTTAGAGCCACATATTAGGCCAAATCAAGAAACTAATATCTACAGTATTTAGTTACATTTACTGTATACTCACTCGCTCACACTTTTATCTTATTACAAATAGAATATGGCTGTAGTCTCAGTTTAAACAGAAAACTACTTAATTACAGCAGCATTTCTCTCACCAGTGTAAGTATTGTCCTTTGGTAAATTCATCCACTTCCTTGCTTTTCTTGTGCTTATTATACAGTTAAGCTTAGCTTCATTCTAACATCTGGCTGCGACGGATAACACTCCATGACACAAACACTGTGGTTTTGTCAATTATTTTCATAAGCAGAAGGCCTAATCATACTGTGCTGGATGTGACATGTCATTCAGATGATTAATTGACCCTCAGTCAGGGTCTTTTTTTTTTTTTTTTTTTTTACCCCCTTAACACGGCTAGGCCAATATTCTGTTAGCGGTCTCATTTAACTTGTCAAATCAGCTAAGTGCTTTCTCTTGCCATAAGCATTTTTTCTTGACAAAACTGCGTCCATGTCGGGGACATTTAATTATGCATGAAGTGGGTTTGACTAGTTGACTACAGGCTCTCTAGCGAGTCACTCTACAGATATCTACTGTGGTTTCATGCCAAGTTTCATCTCATATTCCTCAACTGTCAAGGCAGCTAAATTTGCTAATCCTCTATGCAGGAGCTCTGCAAATTGAGAACAGCGAGGAGTCCGACCAAGGGAAATATGAATGTGTTGCCATGAACAGCGCCGGGACCCGTTACTCCGCTCCTGCCAATCTCTACGTACGAGGTAAAGTACAAAGTCTATTGTCTTAAGCTTTTGCATACCAAAAAACAACAACCTTCCAACCCTTGAAATCTCCTTGTCTGTTTCATTTTGAATGTTGTTCACTAACCAGTAACCTTGTATCTTGAAATGTTTTCTCTCTTCAAAGACCCTGTATCCTCCATGGTGCATTGGCACGGTGGATTTGAGTTATTTTGGTTGATTAGAGCACTTCTTATCAGTGGGCCGGCTATGTTAGATCTTCCTCCACCCTCTATTAGCTCCTTTGCACCTGCCAGGATGGTACAAAGAAATCACACCTTTAATTTCTAACGGTGCATGGAGTAATTTCCAGCATGCATCTGCCCACTTCAAACCTAAGCAGAGAGCTCTCTTAAACTAAGAAAAGTGAAAACATGTGAAAAACACAAACAGGGTATTTAATTGTTGTCATTTCCACATTTAATGACCACAATTTTTTACAGCTAGACGGATAATATTTACTATTATCCTTCCCTTTCCATTTCTCCCTCCCTAAGCTGAACTAACCTCAACCTCCTGTTTGGCTGTGAACTCCACCAGGTGCAGCCCCTGAAAAAACAGCTGCATTGAAAAAAGCGTTTTCTCCGCTGGCATTGACAACCATGCCAGACCTCCTTTCTTTTTTATTTTGACTGTATTGAAAGGCTCCATTATTCCCCCCCACACACATACCCTGAGCCTCTGCAGACATGGTGGGGTCTGGAGTTTCAGGGTTTTGTTTTTGTTGTGGTGTCTCCGTGGGCAGGCTAATGCAGGGCAAAGGCAGCATTGTACCTGTCCTGGAAAAAAGCTGGTATAGGGGAGAGAGTAGACTAGGTCAGCCCCTGCAGATAACACCAGCATGTCTGATGTACATGAAACAGAATAGCTGCTCCAGTTGTTAGTGTGGGTGGAAGAGAGAGGGAGGGAGGGAGGGAGGGAGGAAAAGTGTTGGGGTAAGAAAGAGACACAGTCAGCTGTCTCTGCATAATTGTGTTAAAAGCACAAAGTATCATAAAGGCCATTTTATGGATGAATGATTGCTTTGTCTCATTTTTCATCACTAAAGTTAAAACAAGTAAATGAGAGTCCAAAGTTTACCTTTAAATCCAGACATTAATCATAGACTCTGGCTAAGGAAATGGGAAAGAATCAAGACATATACGTTTTATAAATGTACCTCTTACCAGTAGCTGGTCTCTCAATGAACCCGAGTATATTTTACTTGGTAAAAAGTATCAAAAAATGTTTTCCAACAGACAGACCCTCCTCGTGGATCAGAGGTAAAATAATCTCAAAAGGAACATAGCGGCATTAAATTTAAAGATAAAACACTGTGGGCTTCAGAAGGTTTAGATCTTAAATCTTGACAGGATGGGGTAGTCAGCCAAACAGCAGAGGCGAGAAAGGGATGTACGTCTCGTCTATTAATCAGGGCATGTCTGTCACAGGTGCAAACGCAGCCCTTCCCCCCCCCCCTCAGAGGTAATTACAGTGGTTGTGTGGCTTGGCGCCAGCAGGACCCCGAGGCCCAGCTAGTCTGTAACACCACCCAGGTAGCTGTCAACCCGATGGCCCCGGCACCGGCTTTTCCGCCAGCCTCACCTCACCAGTGGAGAGATAGAAATCAAACGAACCGTAACCTTTTAAAAGTGTACTAGTCTGGATGGGAGAACAAAGGCTCCAGCTATGTTTTCACTCCGTCTTTGTTACTGCGGCAAGAATGAGGAGACGCGACCTGGGGGCTGTGCTATCACCTCGCTGCTTGATTGGGTTTTAAAACAAGACAAGTGGCCTCTGACATCCCTCTCTTCCCTCTCCTGTTGTTACGTGTCTTTTCTTTGTTTATTTTTTATTCTTGGACACCGGAGGGGAGATTTAGGGGCTCACAACATCTGCCATGAAACCTGTAAACATAACAAGCTCTGGAGGCAAACAGGTTATTTGACAACTGTTACATTTTAAAGTGTTGATGTGAGGCAGAAGGTAGATAACATCGGGTGATTACAAACTTTGGACAAAAAAACATAAACACGTTATCTGACCTATGAACAAAAAAAAAAAATACCACAATTTCAAAAATCTTAAAACCTTTGAAGTATACAAATATTGCTATGAAGTCATAAGGCTGACATGTGTTTCAATATTTCATTAAAACTTCTGAATAAATCATGAAGAAAAAAAAGATCACTTTATTTAATCATCACTTTCAAAGAATCATCCCAAACATCATCCCCTCTGGGTAGAAGAGTCATCTGTAGGCTTCAAATGCCATAAAGTTATAACTACTTGGAGGTGACATATAAAAGGATTACTATGAAATACAGAATTATGATGTTTTTCTCTATAAAATCCGCCCACACAAACACACATACACACACACACACAAACACACACACACACACACCCTACACTTGCATTAAAGGGTTTGTTTTGGGTTGGTGTTTGGTGTCTACAAATGTGTTTCTTGTTTTTTGTTTTTTTTTCAACTCACTGACGCTACCTGATCCCAATCCTGTCTGCAGGTACACAAACATGCTGCCAGCACCACCCTTGTCTTGACATTTTAGAGCCACCAAAGAATGATGTTCTCATATTTCTGTGTGGGAGGGGGGGGGGCTGAGACTGAAGGAGGAGGGGAGTTAGTTGAGGGGGGAGGGTCTGCTCATGGATTGTTTGTCCCTTCCAGTCTCTGTATCTATTTATGTCCTTCCACTTCTCATCCATTAAGAGTGTGTGGGTGTCTGTAGGTGTGCAGGTGTGTTGCAGGTTGCTCTTGGTGACCCCCCCCCCTCCCCTTCTGTAAAGGAGGACTCCATCAACGTGGGCAGACTCACAAGCGTCCTGTGATTGTGCATGAGAGTTCATTTGTCAAGCGCTTATCCCACAACGGAGGAGGGATGTCAGCTTCTGTCTGCTGGCACTGCTTCATATATCCATGTGACATGTCAATATGTCATAGAGGATGAAGTGCTGCAGCCGGGCTTCTTTTTTAACCCAAATATCTCCATGCTGTTCTGTGTGTGTCTGCCGAGGTGTCAGGGAGAGAAACTTACAAATGAAACCGATTCAGGACAAATTCACACAATCATGAATTGTGATTAAATTCTTTAATTATGAATATGATCGTTGATATCATATATGCCTTAACAGTCTGTCTTATAGATTTAATTGTTCTGTATTTTTACAAAAAATGAAGCTGTAAACAAAAATCTGATTATCGCCTACTTCTTTGAATCCTTCACATCCTGTGGAACAAAAATCAGTTCCACTTATCTCTTGCTGATTTGGCCTGAACATGTTTACAAGTTGTATTTATTTTTTTATTTTTTTTAATAACTCTTGCTTCTTAAAACAGCTACTTTCAAGAGAATTTAAAAAAAAAAAAAAAAGATTCAACAGTTGAAGAAAATAATGCTCAATCCTAGTTTTCAGTGAGTTTCCCTCCCTGGGACTGTTTGTATGCCTTACTCTGCCTATCTGTCTCATGTCACTAAACCTCCACTGTGTCTTCAGAAAACACTGTTCTGTTTCACTGTGTTGTTTCCTCTCCACTTTGTATGCTCTCATTCCATCGCTCACCTCCATCAAATCACTTCATCCTCAAACAGATCAGCGTGAAGGTTGGTCATTTTCACTTTTAATCCTCCCCCCCTTCCGTTTGATCCAGGTCCCAAATAAGGTCCACTGCCCTTTCCAGCCCCATCCAATGAGAACATAGAAACCCCTTCCTTCAAAAAACAAAAAAAAACTGCATAGTTTTGATAGCTCTCCTCTATCCATTAAAGTGTAACTGTGTCACCTGCATGAATCCTTTAATAGTTGTTGCATGCCTCCTGATGCCACTCCACCTAACCGTGTTTCTAGTAGCTGTGCCAAAACACACAGGGAGTCCCTGCGCAGTTTGTTTAAGACACCATTTTAACGTCTGTTGTGGTATGTAGCTGTGCATTTTTCCCAACCACACCCATATAGCGTCTCCTAACACACATCCACCCAAACCTGTAGCTCCTTTCACCCTCGTATTTTTCCACCTGCCTCTGTATTCCCATCAAATATATGTGACGGATCCATCGGTATTCAGGTGACAACCGGATTTGTCAGGTATTTAGGCAGCAACACTCTGCCCTCCCACCGAGGGGACATGGGTATCAGAACTGACAAAGCCGTTCATGGGGGATTATGCCTGTTCCACCGCTGTGGGTAACCTCTTCCAAGAGACTGAATGATGTGATAGGCACATGTTATCTTAATGAGAAGATAAACATCCCCCCTGTTCTCATGTGATGTTGCAACAGGAGGCCTAACAGATGTTCAAGAGCGTCGAAATAAAACACTCCCATTTAATTTGACTTGCTGTAGAGAAGCCTATCATTAAAAAATTAAAGCGACGAAAGTGCTGGCTTTTTCAAAAACAGGGGTAGGGGTGGAGCAAAATATGAATTTTTATACAATATGCAATATATCATCGTTTTGACTCGTGTGACGCAATGATCGCATTGTTTATGTCCCAATTTTGAGTAACCGCGTCACTACTTCATGACTCCCATGAAGTGGCACCCTTGACATGAATGAGGTCAACACGAACAGAAGTGAATTTGCCAAAAAAAGAAGCTGACAGCAGGATAATGTCTGACAGCGATGAAACTGACTCAAAAAGACTGTAATGTATCATTATATGATTTTCTCATTATTGCTGTATTGTGACATCGATATACTGGGCCATATATTTTGTATCCTATCATATCATATCGTAGGGTAGCATAGCGTATCGTAGCATATTGTATCTTGTTGTCAGTGAAAATGCAATTCTCCACCTCCAGTCTAAAAGAGAGCCTATGTTTTTGGAATAATTTTCACACTTGTTCCATCTACAAAACACTTCGACACAAAGAGCTGACCCATGGAATATTTAAGAATGATCTGGCAGTGTGCTGACAGGGGGATGATCAGCCATCATAGTTGCCCAGCACTGCTGCCAGGAAGCCTGGGAGCCCGCTGACTCCGTGCCAGTGTGCTCAAATATTGATTGACTGAACAGGTTCTGCTATCCTTGGGCACTTTGTCAAGGCAGTTAAATTTATAGGTATCCAGCAAGCGGGCAGGCAGAGTGGAGACAGGGCTTATTTTGTGGTTTTGATAGAGTCCCGGAGCCCGTCTCTCCAAACCGCTCTCAACAGGAGAGAGGCTTCGAGGGAATCGATAACAATTACCTGCCCTCTAGTCATTTGTTCCACAGCACCTCTCCAAACTTAACCGCACGACATGAATTATTCACAACATTAAGTGTTCAATATACACAGCCCCCATTGACTGACTGCTCTTAGCACTGTTTAGTCTATGGTATCATGAAAGAATAACAGATACTTTGAGCCTAATGGTTTTACATTAGGGCCGCTTCTCTCAGGTTTCTCTCTTATATAAGTCTATGTTGTGAAAAATAGCTGCAGTTGGAGAATGTTACAGTTGCGTGAGAAGACACAGGTGGCCTTCAACATGAGTGGAACGCTTTTTTTCCCCCCTCAAAATGCTCAAAGGAAAGTCTGTCGGGTATTAGCCATACTTGAAATCAGATGTTCAGTCATTAACAGGAGAGAAATGGATCAAGCTCCTCCTTTATCTCCTTCCATCAGCTTGCTTAGGCTTGTGATCTCATCCCATGTCTTTCCCAAAGTCCAGTGCATGCTCTGCTTGAGAATGTCTTCCCTGTCCTGTTCCCAGGCTGGTAACGCTCCCCTAACTTTGCTGCACTAAAATCAGGCATATTCCTGTGAGCCTTGAAAGCAGATGTCATGGCTGATGTTACTCTTTCTGGACTGTCAATATCCGTCACTTTTCCCCTGCATGAAACCATCCTTACTGTGCAGTAACTTCCAAACTAGTACCTTCCTGTTATCCTGATGTTCATTTGTAAACTTCACGTCATTTGAATTGTTTACCTCATCATTACCCTGTCCTTAACTTTAGCTGACCTAATGTTCTGCTTTGATTTTTCTTTGCCAAACTCTCTCTGTAAAGATGTATTCCAATGAAAAGAACTGATTGATTTATTAGGCAAAGTAAGAGGTGAAAGGAAACACAAAATCCAAGATTCCAATGCATTTTCCCCTCTTGTTTGTGGCTCAGTCCTGTCTGACTTCATTTTTATTTATTTTATGGAAAACTAGCCCAGTAGTTTAAGCCCACATGATTGTATTGATGATAAAAAAAAACAAAAAACAGCAGCAGGTCTATCTAAAGCACCTCAATTATTTTGGGATCATTCAGATGAGTGTGAACCAGTTCCCCCTTATTGCAATGCGGTCCAGAGAATCCTGCTTTTCCTGACTGGAATCTAAAAAGGTGTTTTATTTCTGTGTGTGTTTTTTTTTTTCCCATTTCACCACATAATGAGGGGAATAACAAGTATGGCTGTATAGTAACAACGTTCTGGTTCAAATTAGCTTGTGGAGGGAGGGAGGGGTGAAGGGTGGGGGGGAAAGGGAAGGTGGAGGGAGGCTCACATTTGAAAATCCATTTTCATGGAGACCGGCGCAAAAGAGCAATTACAGTCAAGGGCTTTTTTTTTTCTTTCTACGAAGCTGTTGTAGCGCATTAGGGGAAACAAGCAGGATAAATTGTGCAGGGATAGTTTCATGCCATGGAGTTTTGAATACATAAGACCAGCATAATCGGGATGGGACTGGTGGGTCATTACGAGGGAGCTAAATGTTGGGCTTGGCTTCACTTTCTACGTATCTGAAGGTTAGAGAAACAAGAGTTACTCCTTTTCTGAGTTCTGCAAATGTTATGGCAGCATGTCATAAAGTTAACAGGTCTGACGCTGACGGGATGTTCACATAGCGGTGTCAAGCAAAACGACAAGCAGATAAGTTTGTTATGGTTGCCAAAAGTTGCCAGAAAAAGATCTAAAGTGTGTAAACACGGCAGGCATTTCTTGTGTATCTTTATTTAGACAGAAAGCAAGTCCTATGTAAATGCTGGTTGCCTGTTTATTCTGGGCCAGCTATTCAACGTTGCATTGAGGCTCTGCATCGGTGTTTGCCTTGTCCCTGGCGACGTCAACGGGCCCTTCTTGTCTCCATGGGAACCCCTTTTTAATGTCAGCCTATCTGCATATCAGAATGGCACAAAAGAGAGCGAAAGAGAGAGGAAGAGAGAGAGGGAGAAAGACAGGCCGAGCAGAAGGAGCCAGAGAGAGGGAGCGGGAGGACAAATCAAACAATGCCATCTCCACAGGGACCCTCAATGATGCAACTCTCACTGCCATTTGACACTTTGACAAAAGAGGGCCAGACAAAGTCTCCAGAAAAACTGGGCTATTTTTTTAAAAATTATATTCCCTTTTGTAGGCGAGAGGATAAAACACCCCCTCAAAGTTTTCTCGTGAATTTCCAGAGCCATCTTATGACAGTCCTATTATCCCCATTGTGCTCGCCTGCACATTCGGACAAAAGCGATCGACTCTCTATTCTATTTGCTTTTCTGTGTTAGCTTTTGGCCTTGTGTTGTTGGACGGGGCAAGACCATTCATTAAATAAGGGGAAAAAAAAAACCATCATACTCAAACCTGCTCACTATTTCCTCCTGCTTCTTTTTGTAGTGCGACGAGTCCCGCCCAGATTCTCCATTCCACCCACCAACCAAGAGGTGATGCCAGGGGGCAGTGTCAACCTCACATGTGTGGCAGTGGGCTCGCCGATGCCCTACGTCAAGTGGACCGTGGGACTGGTGGATCTCACCAAGGAGGAAGAGATGCCACTCGGGCGGAACGTGTTGGAGGTCACCAACATCCGGGAGTCAGCTAACTACACCTGCGTGGCCATCTCCTCTCTGGGCATGATAGAAGCTACGGCTCAGGTCACAGTGAAAGGTGAGAGCTGTTTTTCTGACCTCTCCCCATATTGTGTTTTATCTATGTATGTGTTGCTGTAACAGCGATGTACTCTGCTGTTTGTTTTGAGTCAACCCAAAGCTCTTTTCACACATGCCTTCCTTAAAATGTTTTGAAAATTTCAGGACAGCCTGCCCCTGACATCTACCTGAGTTGCACTTAAAACCCCAACAGCAGGAGATTTTCGCTCCATTTTTCCAGTCTTTGCCTTTTATCGATTCTTTGTGTAATTGGACATACTCACAGTATCAACAAACGAGTGGAAAAGAACATACTGGCGAGCAAAAAAGAGCATGGAGCTGCTTTATTACATGCACACCAATTGCACAGGTCAAGCTTATCAGACTGCCCTCTCTCTTGCACTGAAATTTTACTGAATACGTCCTGCTACTTTCAAATGATAACTCACCCTGACTTCATGCAGAAATGTTACTCCTGGGGCTGGCATAAAAAAAATTAGGACTTTTGGGTTCATATATGCAGCTCTCCCTGACAATTTTGGGAACATTTCAGGACTTTTGATCATGTGTGAGAACACCAAATTATCTACGGAAACACTGTTCTGTTTCACTGTGTTGTTTCCTCTCCACTTTGTATGCTCTCATTCCATCGCTCACCTCCATCAAATCACTTCATCCTCAAACAGACCAGCGTGAAGGTTGGTCATTTTTGCTTACAATCCTTCCTCTTTAATTTGATGCATCTTTCAAATGAGGTCAAACCATCCTTCGCAGTTGTTCTTGCATGCCTTCCAAATGCCGCTCCCCCAAAACAGTGTTTCAATTAGCCTTGCCAAAACACACACGTACTCCTTCTGCAGTTTGTTTAAGACATTATGGGATCTCTGTCGTGTTCTGCTGCTATGCATTCCTCCCGACCGCACCCATACAGTCACTGTCAAGCACATCATCGTAAACCTATAGCTTCTTTCAACCTCAGCAGTGTGTGATGGATGACTTTGGTATTCAGGTGGCAACCAGATTTGTCAGGTATTTAGGCAGCAACACCCTGCTCTCCCACCGAGGGGACATGGGTATCAGAACTGACAAAACCGTTCCCTTGGGATTATGCCTGATTCACCGCCAGAGGCATCCTCTACCAAGACTCTGCATGATGTGATAGGCAAATATTTGCCTAATGAGCATCGATGTCATGCTTGTGTGTGTGTGTGTGTGTGTGTGTGTGTGTTTCTTTCAGCATGTTTGTTGCCACCTTTTTTTTCAGTGTGAAAGTGTAAGTGTAAATGTGACTCTACCCACCTGTGTGTACGCTACCATGTGAGCGTGTTGTCTTCCCATTGCAGCCTCCCTTATCAGTTGTTGTCTGTATTGATCCCTCTTTCCTCTCAACTGATCGATGCTCTGAATGTCATTGTCATTTAGGGGGAACCAAAGAAAGCAGCCCCTCTTCTACAACCAAGATATAATGAAGACCCTTTCTTTTGTTTGTTTCTGTCATAAACTCACAACGGGAACAGCTCTTGCAATTTTCTTGTTTTGTCAGTAATGACCAGGCCGTTTATAAAGCACAAAATTGGGATTTCTGTCTGGCTTTTATATTCCTTTTGGGATATTGGCTGCTGACAGCACTATAAGGATTAGCTTATGAAACAATCATTTCATTGCTATGAGTTACAGAATGGAGAATTACATGGCCAGTCATGTCTTTTCTCTAAGAGAGCAGATTTTAGTTGTATTGTGCCTATATTTTCAGAACCATGATATAATAAATGTCAGATGTCCAATTTTCCTCAAATTACCCGTAAATCCTGAGGGTCCATTCATGATTTCAAAGCTAATACCCTTCTTTTCCCTCCTCAGCCTTGCCAAAGCCTCCCACCTCCCTGATTGTGACCGAGACGACAGCCACCAGCGTGACTCTCACCTGGGACTCTGGAAACCCTGAGCCTGTGTCCTACTACATGATCCAGTACAGAGCCAAGTCCTCAGACAACGGCTTCCAGGAGGTGGAAGGTGTGGCAACCACCCGCTACAGCATCGGTGGACTTAGCCCCTACTCTGAGTATGAATTCCGTGTCATGGCTGTCAACAATATTGGCCGAGGGCCGCCAAGCGACCCCGTGGAGACGCGCACTGGTGAACAGGCCCCCTCCTCACCGCCTCTGCATGTCCAAGCGCGCATGCTGAGTGCCAGCACAATGCTGGTCCAATGGGAGCCGCCCGAGGAACCCAACGGGCAAATCAGGGGCTACCGGGTCTACTACAGCTCGGACCTGACAGCTCCGCTCAGCGCCTGGCAGAAACACAACACAGACGACAGCAGCCTAACCACCATCTCAAGTCTGACTCCTGATATCACCTACAGCCTCAGGGTGCTGGGCTTCACCTCTGTAGGTGATGGGCCACCTTCTGACATCCTGCAGGTCAAAACCCAGCAGGGAGGTAAGCAGCCAACCACTGTGTGTGCTCTGTATCTCAATGAGTGTACGTACGTTCATAGAAATGTCTATGAGAAAGAGCTCATGAAAACTGGTACATTCTCATTTGTGTAGCTCTGCTGTATATATATGCTTGACTTGTTGTTCCATATAAAGAATACTTAAGAACCATTCTTTTAAGATGTTGGAAAATTCTTGAATTTTGCAAGCGCTAGTCCCATTGCTTTGAATTAAAGCTATATTATATGGAATTCAATCTTAAAACCACTACAGCTTTGGGAAAACAATGACATTGCTCTGATAACTAAATAATATTATTGTAGCACTTTTAATTAACAGAAAAAGTATGTACACGAGTAATATAATCTTAGGAATGTGATAGATCTGTAGAACAGTTTAAATGAGTCCCAGTGTAATCCAAGATATATGTTGTTGTTCTGTACTGTTTTTCATCCGGCTCTTTGTGTATACATGTGTCTCTGCCATGCAAACAGCTTCAGCCGTGGTCTGTTCATGTGAGATAGTTTTTGTGGCTGACACTATGGAGAACGTTTAGCCTCAATAATGTGCTACCTTTGTTCCCTTGAGTCTTCAACCTTTGTCCTCCTGCCCCTTTGTACCCAGTCCCTGCACAGCCGTCCAGCTTTGAGGCCGAAGCTGAGTTGGATAGCCGCATCATGCTAACATGGCTGTGGCCCGTACAGGACCCCATCACTAAGTATGAGCTGCAGTACTGGGAGGCTGGCTCAGACAACAAGGTTAGAATAAGAAAATGGACTTATAACTATTTCATGACTTGTTTTTCTCTTTCTCTTGGTTCTCTTTGCCTTTGTATCTCTCTACCTGTCTATCTATCTAGCTATCTTATTTATGCAGCTCTTATTATGCTGGGAAAGTCCAGACGAATGAATCTTGGTCTTCATGATGCAATTTTTTTCTGAATGGGAATCTGCAGCTGAAGCAAATGCTGCTTTATTTCTGCACTCAACTCTAAAGCGCATGAGAACGTCATAGTGCAGAGACAGAAAGCAAAGTTCATGTAAAGTACTTTCTCTCTTCGTTCATCTCTGATGGACAACTGTAACTCCTTTGAACTAGTTTTTTTTTGGACTAGTTGTTCACTACTTTAAATGCATGTCAGGAAAGTGAGACAGCAGTCTAGGCTTTAGGATTAAAGTTGAAGATTAATTCCTCCATGTTTGATTCCCACCAGATACATGTGACCTTCAACCCAGCCGGCTCGTACGCTGTGGTTGGTCTAAAGCCAGACACCTTGTACCGCTTCTCTCTGGCTGCCCGTTCTGAGATGGGTTTAGGTGTCTACACACAGCCCATTGAGGCTCGCACAGCACAGTCCAGTAAGTCCATAACTTTTATTCTCTGGCGTCGTCTCTTTTATCTGTCTTAACTTCTCTCTGTCCACTAACCAGACTGATTCTGTAGAGTAACAGTCACCCACAGCAGGCTGCAGCAGGTATAGGTCTAGCGGGACAAATTGGACTTTAAATCAGATCGCGTTGGCAACTTGAATGTCAAATCAATTTCTGCACAACATATAGTGCTGACAGTGCAGCCACCCCGGTCAGCCTCACGCTTCCACCGCCTCCCCTCTGTCACCAACACTAACCCTCCTGTCCGTCAATCTGAGGGCAGGCCCTGTGTTCAGTGTCAAAGGTACGTTTAATGTGTCCTTTCCCCACATTCGTGAGCCTTGCTGTGTTTTTTTTTTTTTTTTGTGCCTCAAATCATCATTATGTGCTTTTACAGTGCCTGCACTCAAAATGTCACTCTCTGCCAGCTGACTGCAGATTTTTTAATGCTGTGGTGGCAACTTGCTTTTACCAACTCAACCAGGAAGCTTATGCTCCTACCTTGCACACGTTCTCTGCCAAACTTCATTTCATTTAAACAAAAGATTTAGTCATTGTGTTTATTGTAAAGCGTAACTGTTGAAATAGTTGTTGTTAGAGATTCAGTTGTTGAAACTACAGACGCCCTCTGTACACTCAAAGTTGTTACAGAGTGGAGCTTCGTCTCACAAAAGATCTTTGAATATTGACATCAGCTTGTACAGAGCATACCAACCTGCCAAAAGACAAGTTTAATATTCATTAATTAATTATACTCATGCAATTAGCGCTAATTAGTAACAGCTGATTTGTGCGCACTCGCACCACTGATTACATTCGCGCCCTCTAATTTCCACTGGCATTTCCCGCAAAATGCTGCACTGTAGGACCTGGCTTTGGAGCAGCTCTGCAGCATTGGATGAAACAACAGTGGGCTTTCGGTAAAGGAAGGATCAGATTTTCAGTCAGGTTTATTTAAGTGGATACAGGTCTTTTAAAACTAGCCAGGATCGCCCTTGTTACCAACCCTTAGGATATGCTTGGGACATCTCCAGTACTTTTATTCGTGTTGGTTCAGATTGTGTTATACTTATCATTGGCCAAGTCAAATCTCATGCCAGTGGTTTTAGTCTTTTATAATAAACTTAATAGGTACATGCTTAAAAGTTAGTCCAAAACATTGTCAGTGTTGCTCCAGTTTAAACATAAGTCCAGCCAGTTTGGGGATCACAAGAGAAAAGAAAATGTAAACTACACCAAAGTGATGAAGATCTCTCTTTGAAATGTTTCCCTGTTAGGACAGAGAAAATCATTGCAGGGCCAATACCTCTAACAAACGCACAGTTATAAAACTGTCAGTCTAGATCACGAGTGGAGATGAGTGTGTGTCCTTGCAGCTCCTGTCAGCAGGAGACACAAGGACAACACATTGGGATTTCATGGCGAAAGGATTGTGTGCGTGAAACGAGCAGCATCCTCGGGAAGAGTACGAGGCCGAGGCGGTGGGAAAGTGTGACATTTTTTGTGCAACATATTCAAACATCTGTCTTTTTTTTTTTTTATATATTCAGAGCATTGAACACGACAAAAGCTGTTTACATATTTTGAATACAGTTCATAAATGGCCAAACAAGAACTCCACATTCTGCAAAAAAAAATGCAAAGGGATGAAATATTTAAGCAGCTGTGTGAGAGAGTTCACAAGGAGTTCAAGGTGTAGAGGTGATTTCCGAAACAAAAAAATCACAACACAGAATCGGAGATAGATTCCTTACAGTGATGCATAAAGTAAAAAGACACAAACTAAAAAAAAATATGCTGTGATGCTCTAAGAGTGGAGCTCAGCCTAATCCTGATCTAACTGGTCTATATTTAGAATAATGACTGGTTCAGAAACACAAGATACCACATTTTCCATCCTTAACATCTAACGCTCAAACTTAAATTATGTGGCTTGATTAACATTATATATAAACGCTTTAACCTTTAAATACTAGGCTTGACAATTGGGAATAAGGAGCAGTAGAGAGAGCCCCCCCCCATCAATAATTCTCTCTCTATTTTAGGCCCACTCTTTGGCTCTGAAGCAAATGTATTTCCTGTGGTGTTGTCCTCCCCTCATCCAATTTGACTTTGATCTAGCATATTTTCATCAGGACCTCAGTATCACAATCTATCCTGGAAATCATCAGCATTGTTTTGATTCGCTCCGTCACCCTTTTGTAATGCATGTGGTGTTTTGTCAAGGCCTTTGTAGTTTCAGGTCCACTCTCCTGTGAGACCACCTGATGAGACTCGGCCCTCTTTTGTTAAGCCGAGGTGATTTGAAAAGGTGGAGTTTCATATTCTGGCATTAGTTCATTGGATTCATATTTGAGCTAACTGTTCACTGCTCTGCTTATTAAAAAAGAAGAAATATCATGGGCATGTTTTGTATGAACACCATGCTTTGAGTTCCTTGGTTCATTTTATTCTCTTTTGTAGAGTCCCTTTTTTTTGTTGAGTATTGAGTTAGATGCATGTAATATATGAATGCTGTTGTGTTTGTTTTCTATGTTGTTATTGTTCCCTGTTTTCAAATGGTTTATTAGTTTTTCAGTTTTTCTCCGGACTTGAGAGTTTATTTTGTGCTGCAGCTCTTTTGATATCTGGATCATATTGTTTACAATAATAATATTATTCTGAGTGGCGGTGTAGCTTTGAATTATCCACTGTGTACACGTTAGACTGTATAGTGTATGCAGTATGTGTTTTACACATACTGTACTGACATGCCAGAAGAGTTTGTGCTTATAAAATAAAATTTAAAAAGTGTTATCTCGAGACGCTTTACAAAAGAGAAAGTGGGATAATATGCAGGAAGGATTTCTCTTTAACGAGCTATCATTATAGATATTGTTTAATTGAATCTAAATAATTTTATTTGTTTCGATACAGAGCATGAATCTGAACGAGGTTGTAGCTAATGTTCAACTCTTGCCCCTAGTTGGGCCTGTCAGTAAATGCTAAAAGAAGAACATCAGGTAAACCACTTAACACTAAATATATAAACACACAAATAAAATACATATACCACAATGTAACAAGAAAGAAAGAAAGACAGAAAATCTGACATTTAGCATACAGCAATATCCAAATGAACACAGCTCTGGTTTGTACTCAACCTTTGTGGTGAAAGATTTCAAATCTAGGATTCATTTTATTTCAGTTGTTTATGTGTATATTTAATATTTTTGAAAAATCCCTTTGAACTATTGTGGGTTCAGAAGGTTTAAAACCTAATAGTATGTTCACAGTTTGAGTCTGGTCATTGAAATCCAAAGAGAGGGTACTTTGAAAAACTGGTGTCCTTGTTCTGTCACACAAGAAAAAGAGCATTTGATTATTGTAGAGGCTACACACCAGTTACTGACTATAGCTTGAAGGGACAGTAATAATTGCTGATAATTGAGTATTGATTTTAAAATCACATAATTATGCATACGCTTCTGAAACATCCAAGGTTATTTCCACTGCAGCACTTACCGAGGTCTGACAAGCCCAGAGCTTCTGCATCAACGTGCGAACACCAGCCAGCCCGGTCAAGCTCTTGTTCACACACTCACACGTCCATGGCCACTTTATTGCTCCCTCTGCATGCTGCGGAAGGCAGCAGAGAAGGCAGTTATGGACAAATTACGTCTTTATAAAAGCATCGCCTTGGCACATTTCATATTCAGTTCAGACCACCCTGTAGTTTCATGGCCTCTCACATAAATGGAGTGCCAAACACAGCTTCAACAGGAGCCTGGTAATGTGTTCCTGCAGCCAATCTCTCAGTCCGGAGGTAGCATCCTGCGCAGTACGGAAGCTTTTTGTATCGGGCTATCAAAAGGAAAATGTCATATTCAAAGTTGCAAATTGTATATCAGAGTTGTTAACTACTCCATGAGTATGCATGATTTGTGAATTTCAACTGCTCAGAAAGTGGAAAAGTAGGGCACATGTTGGATTGGCTCGTACTTCAAATCATGTACTTGCAAAACATTCAACATCTGAAAAAGTATTTGTCCGTGATAGAGAGCAAAAACATTTTTAATAGTCCAGTCACAATTATTTTGACGACCATACAAAAAGCTTCCAGTTTTTACTTTTAAGTTTGCCCGTGTTTTTTCTTTCATTTTTTGTTTGCTTGATCCGTGCCCTCCTCCGTGTGGTTGTGCTCCCTTCCCCCTACAGCCCCATCTGCCCCACCTCAGGATGTGCAATTGGTCAGCCTGAGCTCCACCAGCCTCAAGGTGAGTTGGGTGGCACCGCCCGCTGCGAGCCGCCACGGCGCTATTGTGCGCTACACAGTCAGCTACCAGGCCCTGTCTGGAGAGGACACTGAGCGGCATGAGGGGCCGGGCATCGGCGCAGACGCCACCAGCTATGTGCTGGAGGGCCTAGAGAAGTGGACTGAGTATCAGGTGTGGGTGAGGGCACACACTGACGTGGGTCCGGGCCCTGAGAGTGCCCCGGTGAGGATGAAAACCAAAGAGGATGGTAGGTTGACACCTCGTCTTCAGAAGAGTGCTCTCACACTCTTTACCTCCCTTTTGCTTGGGGCTGCCTGTCACTGTTTTCCTTCGCTCTCCTCAACTTCGACAGCACATTTCTCTGTAACCTCCTGATCAATTCTGAGTTAATGAGGCGATAATAGTAGCAGAGTTACCTACTCCTTTCCACTTTCCAGCTCGCTCTTTTAAGCTTTCACACTTGACTTCAGCGGCAGGTTAAGGCTCATCACCCCTGGGCCTCGGCTCTGCCACACTTTCCTCTGGCTTCACTGTTTAAATGCCTTCTTGTTTTCTTTCTTCTGCTTTGACGAGAGAGGGAGAAGGAGAAGGAGAACTTCAGCTTTCTGGTCTTTCACTCTTGTCTCTTTTTTTTCTCACTTGTTCCTCATTTTGTTTGCAGCCTGATTGAGAGCAGAAGCCCCTAAGAGGGAGTTGTCTATAATTAATGTGTTTGAAGTTCTCTGCAACACAGCTAATTTCATAGCCGAATTAAGGGGCATTATAGACATGGCTAGACCACATGCTGTCCTGCAAAGGGTGTTTTGGGGACAGGATAGAAGTAAAAGATGGTTTTGATTCATAGCCAAATCTAGCCTTTCTACAGAGTACCCAGGTCTATAAAAAACTTACAAGTCAGTTTTTTGATTTGAGCACTTGGCTCCAGATCACAAAACTGATTTAGCTGAAGAAAATAACTTACTCAGCATATTTTAACTCTGCTGTTCCCTCCCTCTCTCTCCCTTTTTTTGTATTTCTGTCGTCTTCTTGTATCCCCCTCCACCCCCTCCCACACATACACACACACAACCCCCCCTCCCCCCTTTATTTTTCTCCTGGTTTCCAGTGCCAGGAGCTCCCCCCAGGAAACTTGAGGTGGAGGCTGTAAACTCCACGGCAATCCGGGTCACCTGGAAGCCGCCCCTGCAGGGGAAGCAGCACGGCCAAATCCGAGGCTACCAAGTCATCTTCTCTCGGCTTGAAAACGGCGAACCGAGAGGCCAGCCAAACATCATGGACGTTGCTTTGCCGGAGGCGCAGGTACTGGGTGATGTCTTACTCTTGTCAGGGTCTTTGTCTGTCTCTCTTTACCTGTCTGTAGCTGTCTTATGCTCATTTCCCATTCTTTCCATTCTCCACCGCTCTCCCCTATTCCCTTCAATCGTCTGAGTTCACGCTTCATTTCCTCCATACAGGGTGACACACATGGAATTTTCCTTCTGTCGACTACAGTTAACCCTCATGCCCCCCCTCCCCCCCTTCTTTTTCTCATCGTTTTCTACGTGTGACTTTTTCCTATAAATTGGGACCCTGCTCCTACAGCCTCGGATTAGCTGTCGTAACAAGATCCATTCTAATTCTACAGTAATAGCTTTTTAATATTTTATATATGTTACATCAGGATGGAGCTTCATTGAATCAATGCACCTCTCTGTGGTTTGAGTAGTAATACATATGCACTGCCTTGTTACCATGTTTATAAATTAGTTTTTTTTTTTTTTCTCCTTACGCCGTGCTTTACACATTAATGCAGGCTGCTCTGAACCGCCCAAAGCTGTGTGACACCGTGAGATGGATGAAAGATTGTAATCCTTAAGAGGGATTCAGAGATTCATGAATATCTTAAAACCAAAAAATCCCACTCTCTCTCTTTTTTTTTCTGTTCGGGAGACGAGAGAGCGGCTTAAGAGCCTCCTCCTGATTGTTTGCCGGGAGTAACATTTGCGCGAACACGCATTCGCTCGCACCCTCGATGGCCTCACACAGAAACATCTCATTTGAACAAGTAAGCACTCCTTTGGCCGCAGGAACGCAAGAAAAAGAAAAAAAAAGACTGAGCAGCCCTTACATGTGTCTCTGAGCGGCGTTTGCTGATAAGTGCTTTGCAACAGCGATTTGGGAGGATCAACAGGTTGCTGGTTCTCTTCCAAGGCAGCGTTCACTGCTGTGCCCTTGAGTGAAGCTGTTAACCCTCATTTGCTTCTGCAAACACCCTGCTGCCTCAAAGGCTTGAAATTTCAGAAGTGAAGCACCGTGAATGTCACCTTGAAATGGCGTTTCAGACGTGCTACATCCCAAGTGATGCTAAGTAGAAGTTTAGATCCCTGCTGTGCAACATGGCCTTTAGTGATTAAAAAAAAAAAAAACTAAGCGTCGAACTTCAACAAACTTCTGAGCATAAAATTAACATTACGTTTATTTAGGCGACACGGTTCTGAAAAAATAATGTAAAAAAGAAGCGTTTGGCTTTCATAACCTGCCCATCTACACGTCTCCCTCAACACCGAAACACAGTCAGAAACCTTTTTTTTTACAGCACTAGTTTTTGGCAGCTGCTGCTGACAGTTTGTTGATGTGTGATTGTACATTCGAGTTGCTCGACTGCCAGGACATCATCCTTTGGTCCAGAAGACGTGACAAAAACATGGTGGCTGCGTTTCTTCCTGGAAGTGTTTTCTTTATGTCGGCATGGTTAGTGTGACTACGTTATACGCTTGTGAAAACTGAACTCAACATGACCCTACTTGTTGTGCAAACAATACTCCCCGCCATGCCTCATTTGTGCCAGGTTCACACAATAAACACAAAGCCACGCTGCAATTTGGCACACACAGGATACCTCTCATGTTCCACTTTGGTGTCCAGGACACCTCTCAAAACTCACCGCTCCCTCCACGGAAGAAACTGGAATTCCTCCTCCCTCCTCCCGCTGTATTTTTTTCTCTTTCTCCCTCCGTCTCCCTTCCCCTTTTTCTCTTGTTCTCCATTTGCACCCTTCCTGCCCTGGAAAGCCGTTTGAGTAATTAACAGAGGCTTGCGTGCAGGTTGGTTACCCTTGATTGAGTCATCTTCACAGATTGTTTTCCATGAGACAGCGTTGAGTAGCCAACCTGCAAGGACCTGCCCAGACGTCGTTAAGACCACACAGTCAGCCGTCCACCTTGGCGCCCAACTGGTTTTCAGAACAATCCCTCCTTTCTTGCTCATCTTGCGATGCACATACCACGAGAACAAGTGGAAAAAACAACTCCGATAACGTGAGCAAACATGCTCGCCTATTCGTTCAACCCTGTAGTAGGTGTTCCAGCTGGCTGAGAAGAGTTCATGACTCATCCTAGACTCATGCGAATCCCGCATACGCACACCTGTAATTGATGATAAATAAAAGGAAAAAACAATTTTCTTCAATCCTGGCGCTTCCCATAGCGTTTCTCCCAAGAATTTGCCTAATGTAATGTGAAATCAGTTCCATATCCACCCTTTCACCTGCATCAGCTGCTCGCTAAGCCTGCCAGGGGGAAAACAAAAATCCAGATTTTCCAGGGTTCTTACAACACAGCATAACCTCACCTTAGACTTCAGTCTTGATTTAAAACTGATTGGATTGCAGATTCTGTCAAAATTGCTGGAACCTGTCCCTTGTTATTGTCTGGCTGTTTCAGGCTCCTTCCCTCCTTCTCACCCTCACTCAGGGTTAGCTGAATAGCTAGGAGAGCTCGCATGTGCGTGGGCAGTTTAAGCGCCTCTTTTTCTTTTCAAGCAGGAGCCCACACAGCGCCCTCATTTCCCTGCTAAATTTAAACCAGAGGCCATGTTAACAGTGTGATGTTATCGACCCCTTTCTAACCATATTTCTATTGGCAGAGTGGCCTAAACCTGAGTAGGCAACTCCACACCACTGAGGGTGCTCCGTCACTATGCACTCAGGAACCTCTAGGCTCATGTTTTTCATATATCCATCCATTAAAGTTGACACCAAAATGGCGTGATGCCTGTGCTTCTTAGCATTTCCTCCACAAGTTCGCCTTCCTGCACAAGTTCCCCGTCATTCAGCACCACTTTTCCAGGTTCATTTTGTTTGACCACTCATGCGTTTGAGTGGCATGTACGCGTTTGTGTGCGTGGGTGCGAGCACATCGATGCCTCGCTGCCTCTGCGGCCTTCACTGCCTCAGATTGAAGTTCAATGTGAATCGAGAAAAAAAGAAAAGGGAGAAAAGAAGCACCTCGGCTCGTTTCACTCCATCAATCATGACAGCTCCTTCTCTTCCACATCACTCGTTCGCCCCTCGTTCTGGTTTTTATAGCCACACATCTCAGCCCATGTCATCACATTTGCATTCATCCGCCTGCAAATTATACCGCTCCGTTTCCACGAACGACGCTTATCAGCAATGATGTGTTTTCAGCTTGCGCTGGCATTCCGAAATATAAATGAGGGATCGTTTATAATTCTCCAATGAGTTTAGGCAAAACGCAACAGCAGTTGTGATAGGAGGGGATTAAGACCAGGAAGCGATAGGAACTCTGGTGAACCTTAATGTGTTCGCTGCTCTGTTGACATACTGAGTGGAGTCAACGGTAAACAAATTAAGCAATTAGGCACATCGCAAACTGTTATTCATGGAGTTAAGTAACAGCTGTTCTTAAACGGTACTATTTAGTGGCCCGATATGTCAGGGGAGCATGAGGCGGCAGGTTTTAATGTTCCATGTGTGTCGACTAGTTGCTACTGGGACCGAGCAGAGGCCTCTCTTATGCTACAGTTAGCTGGTTGGTGATAAAGACCCGTCCACAGGGAGGAGGGTGGAGAAGTTGGGTCTTTTGTCTTTTCATATGCCAACAGTCAATGCAGGATGATGAACAGCGTCTCTCCAGTGAACAATGAATCAGTACTGTGTGAGGCTCGCTGCCTTTGTTTTAAAAAATGTCTGGAGTTACAAGAACGAAAATCTGGGCATGCAGGGAGGCAGGCACCACTGCCAAATTTAGTCTCTGAGGCGTATGTTGTATGACTCAGGGTGAGGAAAAAAAAATCTATACACATCCAAATAGCTATGGAATTTTTTTTTCTTTTGTGTCATCAGCGCTGCAAAACACTGTAACGATTTTGTATCAACTAGGTTACATGTAAACGTGTATTTCTCTCTGCTAATATAAGGAATTCATTTTCCTTTTGATTTGACTGCAAACAAAAACGTACTTTACGTACACCAAAAACATGCTTTGGTGTTTTACATTACAGGGACTGAGATCAAAACAAATACAGACTCCAGTGTTCTGACTGTGAAGAAGAGTCAACTCTTGACACAGATTATTATGGATGTGGTTATTTGTGCTTAACACAGTGTAGCTCTAACAGAGAACACCAAATGATCACAACACATCACTTTGCTTTCAGCTGTGCAATCCTCTGAATCATGACACACGTGATGCATTTAAAACATGGCAGACATTATCACGGTCCCTTTTTTTTTACCATGAAAAGATTTGTTGGTGCAGTTCATTTGTATTCCACTAGGGTCTTTTTTTTTCTTTCAGCTTTAAAGCAGCAGAAAAAGTTAACTTACAAGTAAATTGAACAAACACTCCATGGAAACAATCTGTTTATTATCATTTGAGGAAACACATTGCTCTGGTGGTTTTGACAACATTACTTGTACATTTTTCCAAAAACTATCACAACAATCAAAACAAATGTGCTGTTTTACGTTAACAGCTGCATGATTGCGCACATGTTGTGATCGTGACAGCAGCTGTTGAGTCCCGTCTGACATGATGTTGGACCAACAACAGTTAATGTGCTCTACTCTGCACGTTAGCTGTTGTGCACATTTTCACTGAACAATCTAAAAGATTCCTGCTGTTGAACATCTTCGCTTGTCGCCACCCACCGCTTGGACTCAGCCTGTCGTCCTTTTTTTTTGTTTGTTTCCCGTTTTGTTCCACTTAAGTGTCACTAGTGTCATCTCTCCTGCCCCCTTGTCAACCGGGCCACCCATCAGTGAACCCCTCTGCAATTGTGGAGCGAGCTGCTAGTAAACACCAGCAAGTTGCGTTCTGCATCGATGGGGTTTGATGTCACAGGGCTAGCATAGCAGCACTGGTAATAGGATTTCACGCTCGGCACCGACGGAGCCCCGCGGCACGAAATGGGCTTTCACTTCCCCTGGGAATCACTTGGCCAAGCACAGCGAGCAAGGAGAACATTTTGAAAACATATTGAAATATTATGAATAAAAGGCCCTCCCTCTACTTCTGAAAAAAGAAAGAGGAAATGCTTCCTGAGATTCTGCATAGTTAATTTCCACAGAGAGAGAGTTACCATCTTGAAAAGAGATGTTGTGTGATTAAGGAAGAGAGAGTTTTTCTTTTTTTTTTTTTATTGGATCCAAAGGCGAATGAGAAACAAGGCAGTGCATCATAAACAGTAATGAACTTCAGAACCATTGCTCAACTTGGCTACGCAATTTATTCTGTGCCAGTCAACTTGTCTCCAATCCTTTTTTTTTTTTTTTACTCCTTCTCGTCCATCACTCTCCCTCTCCCTCAGTGTGTTTTTTCTCTACCGCATGACTCTGTTGAAACCTACATTCATCCGTCTCTGAGCGAAAAAAAGACAAGTGCTTTTTTTCCCCTGCCTGTTGTGTTGTCTCTGACTCATTTCTCTCCCCCCGCCCTGTGTCCTGTGTCTTCTCTCCCATCAGTGGAATATTGAGGAGTCCACCGAGCATGTGAGTAACCCTCATGTGTGCTGCTGGGTTGTCTTGCAGGGCAGGCTCTTCGACCCTCTTGCAATTTGGGGGTGCAGTGTGTGCTTGTGTGTGTTTGGGTTTATGAGTTAAGTGTGTTTTTTTTTTTGTGTGTGCCATGCCTGTAATCTACTCGGTGTGAATCCTCATGAAAGATCATAACCCCATTATAACCACGGTAACAGATTGGTGTCCTAATGAATCCTGAAAAAAAATCTTGTTTGTGTTTATGAGTACAACCTTAACGCATGAGGATTACTTCCGATGATGATTGCAGGTTCAAGTCTTATAATTGACTTTATACAAGAAAAAACTCACAGCAGCAGCGATGCATTCACTCACATCTAAGGCACTTACTGCAGCGAGCTCATAGCTGTTCTCCTCGTCGTTGAGCGTACGGTGCCACGGTGTCACCGAACCCAGTGAGACGCTGACATTAATCAGGCTCCCCTCACCTGCTGTCTCACCTACTGTTCCACATGACATGCCAATCTGAGGGGAGGAGCTTTGTTTTTTTTGTTTTTTTTTTATCAGTTTCTCACATCTCCAAGATTGCCACCATGCCTTTCATGTTCTTTTCATTTGCCTGGATGGCAGCTCACTGTTCCATGGCTGTCACGCAGCCCTTTGTTACGGCTTATTACCTCCCAGACGTCATATTTCACTGGCATAAGCGCGGGGGCCACATACTGTTCCTAGTGAGAAATTCAATAGAAACCTGCCAGAATAACAAACATGGCTTTTCATCTTTTAAACAAGGGCAAATACTTTATTTAAAAAAAAGAAAAAAAAGGGTTATAGCTTTCAGGAAACACTATCAAATAATTACTTTGAGCAATTTTTGGTGTTTGTTTCATGACAGAAAAAATACATCATATGTTACAAGAATTGACCACCGGCGAAAATTGATGTAGAGATCATCTGTTCGATATCAACGCTCGATGTCGTTTTCAGGCACCAGCCAAATGTGCGCCGATCATTTCCTTTATTTGATAACAGCCAGTTGAACAGAAATCTGTTTAAACACATGGTCAGATTTTTCCTGCTACACCCACATAGCGTGAGTCAGGCATGCCTGCCCGTCCCTCTCCTCTTAATGTGTTGATTAACACCTGACAGACACTGTCAGAGAAAGACATCTGTTCGTCTATTTTGTTTAGGTGATAGCAGCCTGTGGGCCATTTTGACTTATGGAGTGTGACGAGCAACAGAAAGATGTCAGCAGCAAAAACATTGGCATGGCTTGCTGACTTTAGCGTGAGGTTATCACAGGGATTAAAATGAAACTGAGAATAGAGGAAATACAGCAATACGAAAATCCTACCAATCTTTGTGCTCTAGTAATAAAAAAGCAACAACCAAGAAACCAGAATTTGAGGTCTAACCCAACCTTTAATGCTATTCTCTTCACGCTACATATCTGAACACTTGGTCACATATGGGCCAGTGGTGCAGCCTGAGGTCTTTTATGTTTTCCTGAAGTGCGGCTAGTTGTGATAGAGCACAAAAGCACATGAACCATCTGCTTGAGAAAATTCAGTCAACAGACTCAGTGACCACTTTTACATTTCTTCTTAAAACCGACTGTTATCAAAGAGAGATTTTTCTGATTTCTCTTGAATTATTGACTCTGCGAGGTAAAGGGTTTCATCGATTACTCTTGTTTTTATGAAGCCCGTCTTGCTTAATTGCTTCATGTGGATATTCCTGTGAAGCACTTTTTAACGGAGGTTAGAAAAGCGTGCCATTAAAACATATTATTATTATAACTCTTCTTACAACGCTGCCCATTTATCCCCGCCGCTCCCCACCATTGCTACTGTAGGATACAGTTATGGGAAGGCTTGTAGAAAAGAATCCATTTCTATAACTAGTCGACTTGATAATCTCTGTAATGCCCTTTGGTGCTGCTCTAAGCATTTGCTCTGAAGGAAACTTTGAAGCCTTCGCTTTTCTATTTTCTGCTGAGTTTCAAAAGCGTTGCTAGACCCGCTTTGACCTTGCCAGAATAGGGGGAGGAAGATCTCTTTGGCTGCCACTGCTGAGACTGTTAAAGCCATTTTGTACGATTAAAGTAATGAGACTTCCTCCATAAAGTTAAAATGGTTTTATGATACAGTAATTTAGCACTTTTTTCCCCTGTCTCTCTTAAAGGCGAGTATGGGAGCACTGAATGTCCCTTAAAGAGCAGCACAGTTAACAGCATTGTCAAACAGAGCGGGCTTATATCGACTGTTAAATGCTCTTCTATGGTCGGGAAATTAAAACTTCATTAGTTAAAGAAACAGCATCAGAGCAAATCCGTGTGATATTCCAGGAGCATGAGTAGCATGCGGGGAGATCCGGCAGGAAGGCTGGTAGGCGTCTGCGTGTTCGTCCTCTGAATGGCCCCAGTCAGGAACAGACAACTCCAGCGTGTGTGCTCAAGCCGCAGGCATTAATTTGTTCTCAGTATGGAGTGTGAGCTCATGTTTGTGTGTGCGCCTATGTTCATGTCTCTGTACATGCATGTATACTCCAGTGTGTGTTTTCTCAACTGTACACGGGTGAGTATGTGTGTTCACATGTTTGCGTGTCTGTTGTCATATGGGCTTTGTTCAAGCTCCGAGTGTTTAACTCCAGCGCGTGTGGGTGTGTGTGTTTTTGTTTCCGACTGATGCAGGCTGGTGAAGTGAGTGCCAGCACTGCAGCAGGTTATCAATAACAGAGTGTTACCTTGGATTGTTTGCTTTCTCTGCTCACTGTGTGTTCCTCACAGTTAAGTTACTGATGTGTTCAATGACCTGAGTGTGTCTGTGTTTTTGTGTTGAATAAATATACAACCCATGCACATTGGATTCCAGAGGACAATTAAGAATCCAATTAAGTCATTTCAATAAATGGCACCAAAGTGTGTTTCTCTGGAAGATTTATCAGGAGATTTTACACATTCATAAGTCTACCCTCCGTGGGCTTTTGTAGACTGCTGTGCAGTGATGATCCTAGACTCCTCTGGGTAAAGTCTTAAGCTTATCCATGCGGAAGCAAGAACACTGACACACTGGTGATGTTCTGGTTCACTTGGTTGGTTTGTTGGTTAATGGGTTCAAAGTGTGCCGTACAAATGGGTGAAGGATTTTTTCTTGTCTGAGAAAAGTTCAAGAAAAAATCCTTGACTTGTTAGTGTGTGTTCAAAACTGTGTCTGTTAAATACTTGAAATGTTTTGCTTCCTCTCACAGGGAAAAGTGAAAAGTGCCAGTGGATGGAGAATGGTGTTATGGTTTTTATTTTGGTGCTGTGTGATTTGTGAGGGGATAGGAGCTTGTGTGAAACGGGTTTGTGGGTTGTTTTGTTTGTTGTTGTTGTTTTTTCCCACGGAGGCAGCCATCGCTCAGGCTCACTGATTCCTTTTAACCCTCGACCTTGTGATTTTTCCATCTTACAGGAGGCCATCATTGGCGGACTGCATTCTGAAACCACCTACTCTGTCACTGTGGCAGCGTACACCACCAAGGGTGACGGAGCTAGAAGCAAGGCTAAAGTCATCACCACCACTGGAGCAGGTCAGTTTGATCAAGGTTATCATGTAAAACAACAGAATATCTGTTGACAGTGAACACTGTGGTATTATCTGTGAGGCTTAAGACTGATGACCTCTGTGTGCCTCATGGACTAGAAGACGGTCTGTGTGACAATGAGTCTTGGCAGTGTTAGTGGGATGCTACATGTATGTCAGCTCTAATCCCAAGATGGGTTAAAATGACTATCTGCTGTTAAATAGTATGAATAATATGTATCATCTTTACTTTTATAAACCAAGTGTCCTGTGGCTTATGCAAGGCAAGTTTCCTGAATGAGCCTCAAGTTTAGTGACCTTAAGAGCTGCTACTTTGCACATAGTGTTGCCTTATATAGAGCTACTTGTTATTTACCCTAAGCAAAGATTCCCACAGAGAGTGATACGTTGTACTGTTAAAATACAGCAGGAGGAGATCCCCAAAGAGATACAACACACAGCTATTCTAAAGTTTCTCTCAGTACTTATTTATTAAAATTGTTCCTGCATGTTTAGAGGAATAATACGGCAACTTATTCTTTTCTTTTACACTTCCTAATCTTTATTTCTAGTCCCAGGAAAGCCGACCATGATGATCAGCACCACCATGGGAAACACAGCGCTGATCCAGTGGCAGCCACCAAAGGAAATGGTAGGCGAGCTGATGGGCTACCAGCTGCAGTACAAGCGCACTGACGAGGAGACCTTCATCTCACGTGAGCTGAAAAAGACCGATGACCATTACACGGCCACCGGGCTGCACAAAGGCGCCACCTATGTGTTCCGTCTCAGCGCTCGTAACCGCGCCGGCATCGGCGAGGCCTACGTGAAGGAGATCAGCACCCCCGAGGACGTGCCTTCAGGCTTCCCATTCAACCTGCAGGTCACGGGACTCACCCAGTCCAGCACCCAGCTGACCTGGGAGCCCCCGCTGATGGCCGAAAGGAACGGCAAGATCGTTCACTACATGGTTGTGTACAGAGACATCAACAGTCAACAAAACAGCACCAACCGCACGGCTGACACGCACATGACAATCCAGGGCCTTAATCCTGACACCACCTACGACATCCGGGTGCAGGCATACACCAGTAAGGGCGGGGGACCCCTCAGCCCCAGCATTCAGAGCAGGACCATGTCCAACGGTATGACGACACATGACTGACATTTATACACAAACACACAGGAGGTGTTTGATTTGAAAACAGAAAAACAGGGTCACAATATCATTACATAATCACATTATATTTACACAGGCAACGCTTGCAACAACCTACGTCAGCACGCCCATCAACATCACATCACCTGAAGTGTGAACACTCTTAAGTGGCTCTTTTCTGTCTTTATCAGTGCCACATCTTTCTCATCTAACACTCTATACAGTACAGCTCTGTGTTTATTGATTTGTAGAGTACTAATCTCATTACACGCTACAGTCACATTACCACGTCGCCTCAGCCTTCCTCCTATTAGTCACAAATGTAAGGAGTACTCAGCATGTACATCCCCATGCATTTTATAATCTTATAAATGTAAGACTTCTTATTTATAGCCAGTTAATCGTGAGGCCTATTTTAAGACATATGTTGTCATGTGCATTTCTTGGTAATCACAGAGATCTTGGTCTGTTTGCATGCGTTGTTATAAACGGTGTGAAATAAATGGAACAGGCTTAGGGACATGAAGGCTATTTTTATGTGATCTGTAAACAAGCGTGAAAGAGATTGTTGATGTTCTTCGAACGCCCCTGTGGCTTGTCAGGTTTTGGTTCAAAGGTATCACTGCATAATGTGTTCACATTATTTTCTGAGAGGGTTTCTTGTTGCTACTGTAGTGTGAAATTGAATTATGCACGTTTTGTGGCGTACAAGATGTCATGTATGAGATAATAATCGAAAGATTTTCCCATCCCAGATTTTCCCACCCTTAACTTCGGTGTCAAAGCTGTGATGAAAACATCAGTCCTCCTCACCTGGGATTTGCCACCAAACTACAAATCCCAAGTGCCTTTCAAGGTGAGTGCAAGGATTTAAGTAATCCTGACGAGTACACAAAGAACATATTTTAGATAGACTTTATCTTTAAACCTGCTGTCCAATAAAAGACTTTATAATGCTAGTTACTTTTGTACTTTTTAATCAGATAACGTTTTATTCTCTATTTAGTTAGCATTGTACAAGAATTACAGCACTTTTTATTTTGATTGCTTTACACAACGTGCATATCTTTTCTTATAAAGGAAGCTCAACACTTTTAGATTTTGACACTTCGACTGAGGTGCTATACGGGTACTTCCCTATTTGCACTGTGAGATACAAAAGTCAGTTTCCTGTTCATTTACAAGATGAATTAATCTGTCAAAATGATATCATACCAATTCCCACTCCAAGGTAATGGTGCAAAGACAATTTGAAGTGTAAAAAAAACGAATGGATATGCTCCAATGGGCAGGTGTGACACCTAAGCACGTGAGACAAAGTGTCTCACTGAGAGTCCTGCTGCTTTTGTCCACGTGTGTGCAAGTATGCGTTGGAGGGAGTGATGAGAGAGAAATTGCATTTGTCTAGAGTTCTAGATTGTGTTTTGTTTGTGTTCAAAGCATAACTCAAATCTTTCCCTGGTGCGCACACAGATCTTATACAACCAGCAAAGCGTGGAAGTGCAGGGAAACCTGAAGAGGAAGCTGATCTCGCAGCTGCAGCCGGACACAGACTACTCCTTTGTGCTGACAAGCAGGGGCAACATTGCTGGGGGTCTGCAGCAGCAGGTGTCCATCCGCACTGCCCCCGACCTGATCAAGACCAAGCCCAGCACACATCAGGCTCAGGGTGGCAAGATGACCATCAACCTGCCTCAGGTTCAGACCACAACACATGTCAGGTCAGTAGTGAGACACATGGGACCACACACACAGGCCGGCTCTGACACAAAAAAGAAATACTACAATAAAGGGTTTTTGTTGCTACACAGTAGACTAGCATTAGAGATCAACTAGCTTTATTTGATTTGGTTATTGTTTGTCTAGTATCCTGTGTAAAGTATTAGAAGGGACCTATATATTTTAACACAGTCGCACTGACGAGATGGTTATGATCAACGTTAGCAGCTATTCTAAGATACATTAACATTCAAATGAGTAACAGTAATCATCCAGCAGTGAAAGCACAGAATCATTTCATTATTGATGTACAATAAAAACTAGATTTTCATCGTATGAAAATATAGGAGTAGGGAGCAAAACTGACTGTAGCAGCTCAAGAGGCGAACTTCTTTCTGTTCAATACTAAATCCTGAAACTGGAACTTTTAATTTAGCCAACTTAACACGAAAGCTGATGATAATTGAGACTTCTAAGATCGGGTGAAGCTGTATTATCTTTTGACTCAAATTGTTAAGAGCAGAATTGTGTCTGACCCTGACAAGTAAAGCCTTTCCTTCCAGATACGCACGCGTACACACACACACACACACACACACACACACATCCGTGTAGTGAGAGTGCAGAGGGTTGATTGGTGAAAAGATTACAGGGCTGTCAGGGCTGGCCAAGCTCCAGCACAGATTGACAGGCAAAGAGCACACGTGATTGGGGATGTGAGAGTGGAGGTGTGTGTGTGTGTGTGTGTGTGTGTGTGTGTGTGTGTGTGTGTGTGTGTGTGTGTGTGTGTGTGTGTGTGTGTGTGTGTGTGTGTGTGTGTGTGTGTGTGTGTGTGTGTGTGTGTGTGTGTGTGCGTGCGTGCGTGTGTGTGTGCGTGTGCTTGTGTGTGTGTGGGTGGGTGAGAGAGGGGGTGAGGGGTCTTGTTATACATGTCTTCTCCCTCTCCCAGACTTGACTGACTGTTGAATCACATACTTGAGGCCTGGAGAGAAAGGGGAGAAAAGCAGCTGCTCTTTCTGTCAGCAGGGTTAGGCTGATTTTACAAGTGGTTGAAACTTTCAGCTGAGGGAAGACAGACCGGGGGTGAACTGGGGCACCGGCGAAGGACAACCAGAGAACCAGTGCATAAATAAACATATCGGTGTTCTCATACATCCACAAAAGTCCTGAATATTTCCAAGAACTTTCTGGATGAGCTGCTGAGTGAATGTAAAACGACCACATTTTTCATCCTGACTTTATTGAGACTTTTTCCCGCAAGACCACAAGTAATATTATATATATATGTATAAGGCAGCAGGTAAAATTCAGCAAAGCTCAACTTGAGCAGATGGGAGGGATGGGGTGCTTTTTACCGCTGCGTGGCCAGTTCAATCTTAATGCACGTAGTGAAGCTGTTTCATAATCTTTACTAGTTTGTTGATATTGTGAATACGTCCACTGACACATTTAAAATAAAGCCAGTAAAGCCATATAAAACATTAGATTTTCAGACTCTTGGATTTCCACAGTGTCATTTAATGTCATGTCATGCATCCTGAGAAACCTACCTACATGCACACACAGACAAATCAACAAGCTTGAAAACAGCTTTAAAAAAACAGATGTTTGTACAACATGTTCTCAATAATATTACACCGTAGTTTGACCCTAAAGTCCTTAACGTCTTTCTGATGTCATTACTGTCTATTTTTGGTCTTGATAACGAAAGCAGAAAAAGGAAACACACATTAGTAGACACATAGCTGCTCCTATTAACCTAAAGAATCCTGTGGGGAGCTCTGTGAGCTGAAGGCTCCTCTCACTGGGATCGTGTTTGCTCCAGTCTACATGGCAGATGTTCTTAGTGATTAGCCATTAATTGGAGAATGCAGAGCCAATCTGCTGGTGTTCGACCTTGGTTGGAACCCGCTTGTGTACCACCCTTAGTTTTGAATCCAGTCCAGAAAACGTCACAGTGAAAGTATGTCTTCCTAAATGTTTTGACTGTGTTCATTAATACACTTGGCCCCTTTTGATGTCAGCGTGTATGCGCTACAGTCAGCCTGTCTTTACACAAGCTCTATTTTTCTTGGCAGGTGGTACTACATCGTGGTGGTGCCGGTGTCCCAGTCAACACGACAGTGGAAGAATCCAGACGAGATGGACCTAGACGAGGTGAGTGCCAGCTGGTGGCTGATTGGCTAATGTGTGAGGTCAGGAGTCACGGATTGCATCTTCCGTTCCAACTGGGTAGGAAGTCACTGTTTGGAGCTAATTAGCTCTGCCCTCCTGGGCTCGGGAGGGGGGTGACACGGCAGAGAGATTTTAAACAATGACTCACTCGGGCAGGTGGGGAATGTCCTGATTGGATGCCAAATCTGTAAACTGTACCCATCTGCTAAATCCAAAGGTTTGAGTGCAAAGTGAATATTCTTTAGCTTATTATTCAACTATGGATGTTAATGTTTGGAAATGTGTTTCTGTAGGACTTTTCAAACCAGTAGTTATAAACTACTGCTCTAGATCCATATTTTTCCTTAAAGTCTCAGTTTGGAAACCCCAAACAAAGTTTCACATGAGATATTCAAATGAGGATAAAGATTTATGACTACTTTATTATTCTATTGAATAAAGGTCTTCCTTGTCCACGAGAGAATTTAAGCTAAATGACGTGCCTAAATATTAATAGCATCATTTTTAAGTAAACTCGTCGCTTTTGCATTGCTTTTGTTTAAGTTCCCTGAAGAAATAAGACTGGAGACCTAGAGAGGGAGAGAGATGGGACTCCCTGAGTCATTAAACACCGAGCAGGCCATTGTCTCCTCCCTTCGACATAATGATTTAATAAAGCTACATCTGGAGCAGCGCATGAGACATCACTGACAGAAAACAAAATGCTGCTGAAAACATAATGCCGCAGTGTTGTATGCTCCTGCTCATTTATTAACCAGGCTGGCAGTCATGCTGAGATTGTGTGCTGGAGCGAGCGCTAATTGCTTACTTCGTAGCTTGGCTGCATTGTTTGCAAAGATGTATAAGTGAGCAAAGGGCATGGTAGCTGTGGAGTCATTATCTCTTATTTGGAGACATAGGAAGTAGCAGACCTAGACAGTTTGATTGCAAGGAAGTTAGGACATGCAGTTGTTCAAGCTTACTCTAATTTGTTAAAGCGCACAAGCTGCGTAAAAATGGACTTTTGGCATCCATCCTCCGATCCATTTATTAATGAGAAGTTATTTTTTATAGCACGTCCTCAGAGTTCAGGGTTCAAAATGAATTTCAAAATTGACCTTTTGCTTTCTGTTTTTTTTTTTTACAGCTGCTCAGGTCAAGTGAAGGCCCTGTTCTGAGGCGAAGGCGCCACCTGGACTCCTCTAAGCCTTACATAGCTGCCAAGTTGGCCTCCCTGCCGACCACGTTCACCCTGGGTGATGAAAAGAGGTACAACGGCTTCTACAACAAGCCCCTGACCAGTCCGCAGGAGTATAAGTGCTTCGTCCTGGCCGTGCTCCGATCCGAGGGGACAGACAGCGCTGCAAACTATGTAAGACACACATTTATGTGAAACTGTCATTTTACTGATTAAGGGCTGACAATCACACTCAACAGCGTGCCTCAGAGTAGTATTTTTCACTTTCTGAGTAAAGCCCCCTCCTGGATTTGTTAGATTAAAACGTCATTTACCTGAGCTTGTACTCTATATTTGTTTTGTGTCACTTTTCCTTTTTTCAGACAAACTACTTAAGTTTATCACCCATCCTCAGGCTGTGACAACGTTTCCAATCAAACCGTTGGCAAAATGGCAGTGGCAAGCCAAATTGTTGTTGTTTTTATTACCACTTACCCTTTACTAGCGCCGCCTCTAAAAGGCATTGCAGCTTGTCCTGATAACTCCCTTATCAGTTGACAACAACATCAGAGATCCAGCTTTGCCATTTTGGAGAGCTGGTTGGGCACCGTGCAGATCTCTGAACAATGCTTATACAAGACCCTTGGCTTTCTAAGTGGAGGCCCTGTATACTCGTCAAACATGACACTAACGCAGACTCCCAGCTCTCCTAAGGATGGTCTGGAGTAAACTTCACTGCAGGAAGAATGAGAGCCTGCAATTGCTCTGGGCTCCTCCACTACCCGAGACATGCATATTCAGAAGCTGGGCCACGGGCGAGCACAGAGGGGAGGGGGAAGGGGGGGGTGCAAGTTCTTCATGTCCAAAACCAAATCCCAGACTTTTCACCTATTACTTTCTCTCCTCTCACATCTCCTCCCTTTTTTTCTTTTTCGCTCCCTCTCTTCTTTTCTTTGTCTCTCTCCCTCTACCCATCTTTCTCCACCATGAAGAGAGCAGAGGAGATTGATTAGTGCAGCTGGAGTTAAGAGGAAGACGAGGGCCTGGTCACAGGGCCTAGGGAGTCTGTAAAGCAGGCCTGATTCCCTTGAAATGCTGCTTTAAATGTCCCTAAAGCCCCCCCCCCACCCCACCCACCCCCTCCTCCTCTCAGTAATCCTCCTCTCCTTCGCTCTGACAAGGGGAGGGAGGTGCGAAGGAGGCTACATTGGGCAGCCCTGATACACTTGACTTCAAAGGAGATGCTTAAACCCCATCGCTGCACAACACTCTCACTGCAACCGCCAGACGCTGCAGGTTGGATCAGTGGCACTCAAGATTTGTCTTTTTCGGTGTACTTCCCCTCCTTTAACTACGTAGAACCCTCCCACTTTAAAACTTAATCACTTGGATTAATCAGGCTTCACTTACAGGGTGAGTCAATCAGTGTGTTTACCTTCAGGTAACCCAATTTCTTCCACTTCATGCAAATGAGACGCCTGGTTTCCTTAACTCAGGGATATGTATCCAGAAACTCTCTTAGCGGAGCTGCATTGATGGAAAAAAAAACCCTTCCTCACCATGTATGAAGAGTTTTTTATTATAGGGTTTTTACAAAGACAGCAGGGAAAGAGCTGAGTGACCGGGATTAAAGTTGAGATAATTACTCTTGCAGTTTATCCTTGCAGCCAAAGTAATTATATCCAATGTCAGACCAACAACGAAAGAGAAAAAGTTGCCATTCAAAACTGAGCAGTAGAGTGTTGTGTAACAAACCAAGGACGTGCATGCATTGGGAGCTAAACTGACAGGTTTTGTACTACAGAGCCTGCCCTCTCAATGAACCGTCAGTCCAAAGACCTTCTTCAGGCCCTGTCACAAATTCACTCAAAATATTCAATCCTTGGTTCAAAGTACAGTAGACGGTGGGAGAGAAATCCTATAACTGACCTGAAACATGGGATTCAAGGTGACAGGATCACTGCAGTGCATGTAACACACGCTTCTCTCCCTCTGACCTTGTTTTCCTGTGTGCATGACAACATGCCCGAATTCTGAGGTGGAGACTACAGGCAGGCTGTCATTGATCGCTGCACAAATCCCCCAAACGCACGCTTTGTGAAACTCAGATACCACTGCAGCGTTTGTTTTTGTCACCCCCAACGCCGCACTTGCAAACATTTATTACCAAACACAAACGGGTACAGAAGGTAAAGCAGGCAGCGGGATGGAGCAGTTGGCAGAAGCCGCCTCGAGCAGGATCTTCACCAGACCCAGGAGAATAAGACAACAAGTACTGGAGTAAATGACTTGTGTCTTTACTACACTTCCCCAGCACCGCCCAAACTCCCTCAGAGTAGATCAAACAGGACCGCCAGGGTTTAATAAGCCCTCGTATATCAGTGGCCACAAGCAGCCAGCAGTGGTTGGAGGAAAAAAGAGAGGGAAGGAAAAGGCAAAAGGGGGGGATGAGAGAGAGAGAAAGAGAAAAAGAGAGTGTGCCTTCATGTCTCCCCAGCACCCAAGGCAGATAAACAAGCCGGGGGAAGTGTGAAATGGGATGATAGATGCTGGGTGTGTATAAACAGTATCATTTAATGCGAGAAGAGAGTGAGGGAGGGAGGTAGCATGAAATATTGTGTGATGTGAGACAGAGAGGAAGGGAGCTGTTGGAGAGAGGAAAAGAGGAAAGCAAATATTTTGTATTGTGTCCCGTCCAGTCTGTGAAGCTCGCATGAGACAAAGTGAACTGGTGGGAGAGACGGAGAACGTGCTAATGTGTGTTTTTCTTTTGATAGCGGAGAGGTGAGTCTGTGGCTCACAGACGTGTTCACAACAGTTTTTCTGTTTGCAGAGCTTTTCAGACATTTTCTATTCCACTCACTCGCGACAAGAATTGTCTCTGTAGCACTAATTCTTTCGGTGCTCTGGGCTCAAAACACCCTTAACATGGAAGACCGGCTTCTTTCCATATTCAAAAGGCTCCAACAAACAATATCAAGGGAGAATTATGAAAAACAGGATTGTTTACTCCCCAGCAAAGAGTAAAAAAGCAAATCCAGATACAAGTTTTCACCGAGGGTGGTCGAAGGGATTTTCAATTCAACCCCTTCTCTGCCGTTTACACCCGTAGTTCTTCTCCCCTCGAGTGATGCCTCCAGATATCTGGATGCTTGGTATTCAGACGGCCAGAGAGGGAAAAGTGCAGTTCTGGTGCTGAATTGGAAAGAGGGGCATGTGAGGGGAAAACAAGTGGTGAAAAGAAAGTGTAAAAGGAGAACTGCAGTGTGAGGGAGAAGGGTCATCATACAGGGTAGGCTACACCCTGCAGCCATGCTTCTGCTCCTCAAAGATAAAGACATACTCTTACATACTCGTCATGTTTTCTCTTCACCTCTGTATTTAGCGTCTCTATACAGCCTCTTCTCCTCTCCCTCTCGTTGTCTTTCCCCCCCGTGTCATGCAGCAATGAGCTCCTCAGCCTCCCCGGGGAGGCAGAGAGAACGGCAGATACGTAATGGGTAGTCTTTGCATGTTTGTTTGTTTGTCTGGCGCACACCCCCGCGGCTTATTTAGCCCCTTTTGGGGAGTCGCGGAGCTTGCAGGGTCAACGGCGAGTTGAAACAAATGCTGCCTGTGCTGCACGTAGCGGATGCTGTGCTCAGGGGACGGCAGAGCAGCGGCCGACTCGGGAAGCTGTGTAGCCCACAGGCCAGATAGCTGACTCGATACACTGCTACCACTATTACACCTCTAGTTCAGTCTGTGTGTGTGTGTGTGTGTGTGTGTGTGTGTGTGTGTGTGTGTGTGTGTCTCCTCGCTCTGTGCCATCTCTCATCACCCACTCTCTTTCTCTCTCGCTCTCCTTCTCTTTCTCTGTCTCAGACAAACACTTACAATCATACACGTACGCTCTCAGCAGCAGCAACCTAGACAAACACACACTCTCGTGGAGACTCAGAGGAGCTCAGAAAAAAATAAATAAAAATGTATGCTCACACAGGCTCTTACGCTCATTTATTTAGTCTCTACACACTACCACACTCTTGCTCTTTCTCTCATTAAGAGATGCACTCACATCGATTCACTCTTCAGGCTTACAGTTGGACATACAGTGAAGCGATCATACGTATGTGCAGTGTTAACACCCACCTTTATATCCTCTCCTTTGTCTCTTCTCAGTAGAATTTCATTGAATTTGAACAGAAACCTGACTCCAATATCTGATCTGCTTATAATTCTTTCAATTGTATCTAGTGTTTAAAGGCTATTCTTGATCTGTTTCTATGGTTTCCAGTCGTGTGTTTGTGCCACTGGGTTGTGTTTATATTTACATTGCATGAAGTTGCACTGAGATATACATTTCTTATGCACTGTTGCCCAAGGTGAATTTCCCCTCAGGGACAATCAGTATATCTAATCTTATTTACCGTATTTCAGGTTTGCTTTCAGCATTTTTCACCTGTTACAGTTATAAATAACTGCCAACCACGGATTGAAATTGAGACTGTCAGCACAACATGAAACAGATCACCAACGATATACAGTCTGGATTGAATAAATATTTTACGCTTTGAAATTACAATCGTAACATACTTATTTTATACTGGGTCTTGTTCCTAATACCGGCGTAATAGCCAAAGATAATGACATCTAAATGTCTAAATGAAATCATGATCAGTGGAATTTGTAGAGTAAGCATTGTGATACATAGATCATTTACTGAAGAAGACTGAACACTGTAAACATACAGTACACTAAGAAGAGAGCTGCTTAAAGAAAGAACAAAAATCATCTCTTTGAATTATGTGACAGATGTGTTACATCATTCTAGTATAGAGTCAGTCAGTCAGTACGTTTACATGTACAGTTAAGTTGAGCTACAGTTATAGGTGGAGTAGGACTTTGATTGAATTGGACTACTGTCCTTGTCCCAGTAAACTTTCACCAGAGATAAATCACCATGTCTGAATCTACTGCGCTAGGTGGCAAAACGCCCCCTTTCAGCTAGTTACTATTGGACCTTCTTCAGATTGACCTACAAAGTTACATACAAAACATTCAACAAATGAGCAGCAAACTTTATTTTCTTTCATCGATGTACTTCAATGTGATTAAGTCCTTCAGCTGACACAACATTAAATTATGTCCCCTCCTTGTGTCTAAAAATATGTGAATCACGCTCAAGCGCTCACCATTTGATGCCGTCGTCTTGTTTTCTTCCCCGGCTTTCTTTCTACACATTTCTGCTGTGCATGTTCCAGGTCGAAGCCCGGCGTACTGTGGAACATGCACTGAACGCCTGGGCCAGTTTTACTCCGATTGAGGTGTTAGAAAAATCAATTCCCAACCGAATTATATCTAGGTGTGTTAGTCCAACTTTGAAATATTACGCCTGAGATGGATTTAAGTGTTTACGTTGATTTTAAAAGTCCGGTTTTAGGCGGACTAACACAGCAAATCAAAATTGTATCGTCATGTAAACGTAGTTGAGTGTTTGAATGTTTCATAAAGTACATTTGTCATTTAGCCGAGTGAATCCAGGTATTCTATTAACATGGCTCTAATCTACACAAACCCCTTTCTGTCCATTTTATACACATGTACACACTGACTCAAAAGGCTAAGAGACACACACACACACACACACACACACACGTACATCTCTCACTGTGTGTGACTCACTCTCAGACTCACACATTCCTTCGCTGCACCATCGCTCCATTGTGATATCACTCTGCGAGGGCATTAGGATCTGCGTGACTGAGCTTTTATCAGATATTAGGGCCGTTTAAATGGATGATCCCAGTACTTTGCCGTGACCAACAGACAAAAAGCTCTCTCTTTTTGTCCGTCCATCCCCTCTCCTCTCACTCTTCTTACCCTTATCCCTCTCTGAAAGCACAGCTGCAGTCATTTGTTACACCATCCCCAAAAAAAAAAAATCCCAGGATTCCCTGCAGGGCCGTATCCTACAGCCTTTTTTGGGCCCTCCTGAAGGAACAGGAAGCCTTGTGGTGTCATCACATCAGTTGTGTCCCACCACTGTGTACTCTTTGTTCTTAGATAATGAGTTCACACAGGACGGGAGAAAAAACGGTCTCATGAGCTCCTTTGTGTGTATCTCTGTGTGGAAGCATGTGAAATATTGCCGCTTTAAACTACCGCTATAATGTGGAAATGTGAGTCTTTTTACCTGCTACTTGAGTCATCTCTTGTCTGTGTCTAATATCAGAGTTTCAGGTTTGCACGTACACAATTGAAACATGCTGTAAGGTTCACACCCATACAGTAAATGTTTCCGGCAGTTGCCCAAGAGAAGGCGAGATAACAGAACTGTATGACAGAGCGCAGGACTCTTTGAGCTCATCTCAGCTTATCTTTCCAATTAATATCTGCCTGTGTGCAGGAGAGCAGGCTGCTGTGCGGCTAATGATCCAGATTACTGCTGCCTGCCGCCCCGCAACTCCCGCTGCACGCTGGGAGCCCAATTCCCTTCAAGGGCTGCGATCTGTCACCCATGCCCCCTCCGCATACCCGCTTCCCCTCCCAAACCTGCGTCTCCCCTCGTCATTCAAGAGGAGCCACGCTGAGCTCTAATGACAGATGCCTCGCTCCTCCCTCTTTCTTTTCCTCATCTGTCACCTTGCTCTCCTGCAGTTGTACTCCATTTACTTCCAGATACTTTTTTTTAAACACCACACTGTGTCTCCCCGCACACACACTCACACACGCCTCTGTCGCTCCCTCCTTTACTTCTCCCATACGTCAATTGGAGACGAAAGGCGCAGAGAGATGTCTCATTTAAAACCAAGGTGGAAACGCACCCACACCGTCACCTCCTCCACCTCCTCTTCCGTCACGGTGTGAGCACTAATGAAGAAGAGATGAGTCCTCTCCTGTGCCCCCATTTATCTCTGTGGCCAAGGGACATGCACACTCATCCCTGCATCTCTGTCTGCAGCCTCTCTCTTGCTCTCCTGTCTCGCCCCAGCTCTGTCATCATCTCTAACGTGATGCAATCCTTTAATAGAGGCATAATAACTTCATTAACAGGGATGGTTATTGTTTTTTGGGAGAGAGTCTTTTGAGCTAGTTTTATGGCTGGTTCTGTCGTATCCTTGAACTGAGCTTATTAATATCATGAAAAAACTTCTCAGGATGCCAGTAGCATGAAATTTGCATTCAGATACTTTGATTTCTTTTCCTAACAAGGTCGACTTGGCAAGCTCTATATATTTTTAGTGTTTCACAGTTTCACAGTTTCCCACATTGTTACATTAGCGACAGAAAATACTGTTTGAGTCTGTTTATTTTATTTTTTATGATTTCTCCTGTATTTTTTAATTAAAAAAAATGGGACTGCTTGTTACTTTTCTCCTTTTCTTCAATTGTTAGAGTCATTTATGAGCCTTTTGTAACATCATGTTTTTTATTCTTTATTTTAGAAATTGGACAGCAACAATATTTCAGAGCATTGTCACAGAAAAACAATTCGGTCTCTTTTGCAGTCTTCAGCTTTTTAAATATAAATATAAAGAACTAAATACAGTGTGGGAGAGATAAAGTGTGCGTTCAAAATGAACTAAAGAAATATCAGAAAAATACTAGAGAGAGAGAGAGAGAGAGAGAGAGAAAGAGAAAGAAATAGGCAAATAAGTGAATAAATAAAAGATTAAGCTAAATTAAATGAGGTTTGCTAAAACAAGACAACATCACAAAATCACTGCCACTAAATCTGTCTGCAAAGGTTTCACATATTTAACCCACTTGGACCAGAGTTTAACAAAAAACTTCCTTCTGTAGACGCAGACAAAAAGTGATCATTTCCAAATCTCCTCGCTCGACCCTCCTGATCTATCAGCCCTGCTTCCAGATTAGCTTGGTGCTGCATCATTCTCTTAATTAGCATCGTTGTTGCCTGAAGCGCGGTCTCTGTTTCATCAATTCCCTCCTCTGTCTCATAGAGTCTGTCATTCGCTCTTTTTAGTTCGTTTTTAATGTCAGAGAGTTGTTCCTAATTGTCATTTCTGAACTCTCAAAGTTCGCACAGGACTCAAACCAGCTTCTTCTGAGCTGTCGTCTCCATGTGAATAAGAGCATGGAGAGCTGCTTCGGCTACTTTGCCTCGTTTCAGCATCGTTTTCCATCACGTTTGTGGTCATTCTACTTCTAGTAATACCCCCTTTTCTCCATTATTGATCAAAATATGAACAGGTTTTTTGAAAAGCACACAGATTGAGGAGTCAGTTTGCAAAACCGTCGGGGAGCTCGAGAATGAAGCTGCCGTCCTCTCGAAAGCGGAACGAGAAGCAAATCGATAGGAAAGTTTGAATCCAGCATTTGCATTGCCTCACCTTGCCAGTGTACAAGAATGATGTTCACATATAGATTTAGATCAACTTTATTCACAAAAAACACATCCTCTGGTTCCTCCATAACTAAAAACTCTACAGTATGTTGAAGAGTGCCTGCATGAACTTCTTTTCCCCTGGGATGTGAAGGCTATTTTTAACTTGCTTTTTAGGAAGTCTAAAACCCCCCTGAAGGCGTGATTTAGATAAGAAGGGAAAATCTTGCATACATCTTAAAGCTTTGAAGTGACTCTGCTCTCATGCACCTGTGTTTCTCCTGTCTTCTTCTCCCCCTGCAGCTGACTTTTTCAGCCAGTCCTTACTCCGACCCGATCCAGGGCACAACGAGCATGGCACAGGGGATGGAGCATCCCGAGATGTTGTGGGTCATGGGTCCGGTGCTGGCTGTGGTCCTCATCATCATCATCGTCATCGCCATCCTGCTCTTTAAGAAGTAAGAGGCCCGGTGCTCGGTCGTTTGTGTCTGCGTTGGTGTGAGGTTGAACTGCAGTGACACTGATGTGATTGTAGGTTTCTTTGGGTTGCATCAGGAATGGTAATGAGACATGCTGCTCCCTGCCACTTGCACCAGACTGCTCACTCCACCAAACTGTAACATCCGATTTCTCCACCACATATACAGTGTAGCGGGGAGAGGGACTTAAAGCAGACTGATTTGTCTGTCAGAAAACTCTCATTTCTTCTGAAAGATTTTGGACCAGCTGGACAATTTTAACAGTTCCATGTGAAGTGTCAGATAAAGCGTCAGCTGACTTTGCTCCCCTAATAAAAAATAAAAAGCACAGCCTTGGCTGTCAAAAACGTGTTTTGGCAAACACCATTGGTCATTTGAAATCAGAAACAGAAGCCTTAAACAAAATCTCAATCAAATCTCTTAAAAGCAGCTCAGCTAACGTGAGTGCAGAGGTGACATTGACACAACTTTGTGAGCAATTTATTTTGGTTTCTATATCCCATAAATTGAAAAAGAAAAAGCTTTATATCCCATATAAATTCCCATCACAATATACTTCAAGCCAAGCTGAATTCATCAAATACTAAGTTAGAAACCTCAAAAATTTGATACATACTTTTATTTTCATTTTTTTAAAATATCCTAATTGATAGTCCATTATAAAAAGGAGTGATGAATAATTTCCTGTGAAATTAATCAGGCTGCCCGCCTTTAGGCTTGTTAGTATTCAACTTTTATTTGCAAGATAACAAATGTGGTTTGGACACTGTGTAAATATCATATCTATTACACCCCAGCATTTATTTACCTGACTTGACTCCCCCCCCCGATTCAGTCCCAGACCCCTAGCTTCTCCTGACTCTATTACAAATTCTCCTTTTCACATCATACCTATTCTCCAACCTGCCATCCACAGCCCTGCAGACTGCTGTGTGGCCCGTGGTCCCCGGCACACTTAGAGAGCGACCGGTTAATAATAGGCCTTGAGACAGCTCACTGTTGAGTAGCACATCCTCTGCCTGGAAGCCCTTTTCTCCATGTGGACACAGATCGACAGGAGGGACTGTGGGGAGGTGGCTGGTGTGCCCTTTTCACTGTGGGCTGGCAGCACATGTGCAAAGGAATAATCACACCCTACCACAGGTTGTTATTGCTACCTGCATATTTGCCAAGACCAACAGCAGCAGTGAACAGTGATGAGGTTATTCTCCAAACTGTCCACAGTGTGTTAAGATCACTTTTTTTATTCTGTGCTTTCAAGATGTGGTTTATGTTTTTTGAATAAACTGGATTTAGCTTTCTGAAAATAGAACCGAATAGAAACATTTGGTGAACAGAAGTGATAGTCATGAGTTATAATTACCTTTAATCCCCCTCCCCCCCTTCTTTTTGCCCCTTTTTGAATGCAGCAAACAGGAAAGGTGGGTACTGTCGCTGTCACATTGTTCACAACTTCATCCACCACTTCCCAAGTCCCTTCCATTCGTGTTGTGAAATCTCTGGAATTCATGGTCTCTTCTGGGCTACAGGGTCAGCTTCCTCTCAGCTCCAGCAGGCGCTGCTCAGAAAAAAATCCGCTCACACAGAAATAAAAGGGAATCCTTTTTAAATTGGCATGTCTAATCGAATTTGTTCAGTTTTACATGACTTACAAGACATGAGAGGCAGCAGACTCTGCAACCCCCCGATAACCAGGGTCAGAGGGACCCCCGGGTCACCTCGGTGCACCAGTGCATGTTCCACATCTAGTGCCAGTGCTCCCCTCAGATCTTCCTGTCTGCCAGGGTTTGTCTCCGTGCTGTTTCATTATCCAGCCAGTGTCAGCGCGCCCCTTCAGGATCGGCCCCATCAGAATATGCCAAGGCATCACCTGCTGCTGAATGGGCCATTGTGAAGTAAATGCCAGACGGGGAAACTGCTGAAAAAGAAATGTTCCCATCTTTTAAGCTGACATTTTCCACCAAGACCCATTCCTTCAGTTCCCCCCCCCTTCTCTACGCTTCCTCATGGCAGGAGTCTCAACAAAGGGCCCTGTTCTACCCTCATTAAACGCACCCTGTACTAAACGCACTCATGCACATGCAATATGTGTGTGTGTATAAGTGTGTGTGTACTTACATTCTCACACGTCTTAACCCCTCACTTTGGGCCTCAGATGAATAACCCTATTGAGATTTCTGCCATGTTTACTTTAGCCCAGCACTAAAGTGTCATGTAGATTGGCATCTGATTGGGTCAGGGGGGGAGACATGGGGGGCTGTGGAGAACAGCCCGCAGATGCCCGACTCTTTCAACACCTCCTCCCCCAGCCCAGCCCCGCGCCAGCAGTGGTCTCTGGGAAAACCGGATACGGCCTGGCTCGGCTCTCGGCTGGAGAGGAAAAGATGCTTGTCATAGATTAGCCGTCACGCTGCTAGCATTAGCTTAAGCCCCTGCAGCATAAGATAACAGGTGGCGGTGAGGCCCGGTGCCCCGGCAGCATGAGGTGGACGGGGTTAAGGCTGTGTGTGTGCACCACCAGCTTTAGATATTCTCACCACGATGGGCTTCAACAGAAGGCCCTGCTCCTGCCTAAAACCCGCGTTCACCACTTGCAAATGGAGTGCAATGAGATGTGAAATTTCCACAGGGCGCCCTGATGCTTCATTCCGCCCATTTCCATTTGCAGTCTGAAGGCTTGTGAGTCTGCAGCTGTATCTGTATGACTGCATGTAGCTGTAAGAGCGAGAGAGGTGGGGGAAGAGTACATCTGTGTGTGTATGTCAACAGATGCTGGCTCTCTGAACATTAGAATACAGGCGGTTTACGTTTTTTCCATCCCTCTGTCCGCCTGATGGACAGAGCTTCGCTTGACTGAGCCGAGCCAATCTGAGCCGTTGCTCTCCTGTTCTGTGCTATTCTAGACTCAGCTAGGCCCAGCCTGGCAGTGCAGGTGCTGCAAAACTGGTCTAATTACCCAGTGTTGTGCCGCCCAGCTGATGAGCTAATTACAGCAGCCGCCTGTTTTCCTCTCAGTCTGGAAAGCCAGTAAACACAATGTGTTGTTAGCCCGCGCACACACACAGCAGCGAAAATCACACATTTTAATCTTTGCTACACACAAACACGCGCTCATGTACACATTCCCACACGCAGCAGCTGTCACCTATCCAGCGGCAAACAAACCCAACCCAGCCCACTCCAGGAAAATGACAGCGTTCCTTCAAACACATTAAACTCCAGTTGGCAAACTAAGGGGCTAATTTCCTGGTACCTACTGTCTCTTGAATTGCCAGTCCTCAGAACTAGTTTTGGAAACAATTAACCATTAGCCTCATCAAGTGTTCAGCACGGGGGAAAATGTGTGCATTTTTCCTCAGCTCTTTGTTCTAACCATATAGGAGGATATTAATGTCATTCTTAATCATCTGGTCATTTTTACTAGCTTGATAAATTGATGAACAGAGTGTTATATGAAGTTCTAAAAAGCATGTATGTGGTCACAGCTCTCTCATGTGGTTGATGTCTTAATTTACATTTCTGCCATCTCAGGAAGCGGGCATCACCTCTACCCAAAGATGAGCACTCAGGTGGGGTGAAAGACTCCCTGCTGGCCAACTCGTCCGACCCTGTGGAGATGAGAAGACTCAACTACCAGACTCCAGGTAACAAAAACACAAAGGGACTTCAACTAAAAAAACATTAAGCGACACCTGATGAAGTTTACTCTGTTGATGGTTGTATAATTACAAACCTGGTCATGTGAGGATTTCACTTCCTATTTGAAGACTTTGGTAAAAAAATGTCCATGTTGAAACCGGGTTCGCCAGGTATCGCTTCACTCCAGGTGTGGTGTGAATTAACTACATCAGCTTTTCCTCTAGGTATTCAGAGCATACATGCGCATGCGTAGTCTGCAATTTCCTTCTTCTGTGGAAAATGTTAAAAACTGCTCCCTTTATGATGTCTCTGAACTGTTAACATCACACAGCCCATAAAGTGCCATCTTTATGATGATTGTATGAAAAATTAAATGGGATGAAATTAAGAATTTGCCCAGACGGGATTTCACACACTGCTGCAAGATACTTTGAACAGATGCAGCTACAATCTCAGTTTCTGTCACCCTTTAAAAGCTTAAATGAACAAATTATCTTAATGATAAAACATGATTGTTTGTCTAACTTGTTGGTGTTTAAACTGTATTTTAGAGAATGTAAAATAGTTCTTTGACAGGCCAACCTGATTTCACCCCGTCTTTGACCGTATTTCAACATTGAGGTCACGGTTAGTGTCTGCAGGTAGAACCCACATCTGCTGGCTGGTACAGACTTAAGTTTTGGGGTTTTGTTCTACTTTGAAACGTTTAAAGTATTTTAAAGTATTTAAGTGTTTACTGCACTTTGAGTCTGAATTTTTGATTCAGGGCTGAATATAGGGCAGGTTCATTTAACATTTCTTTGATTAAAAAAGGGGTAAAGGGTATAGTCTGTCAGAGACTGAAGACCTGAAGGGGCCTCTTTGCAATGTGAAAGTCCTGCCTGTAACTGCTCAAATGATCCATTCAGAAACCTTTAGAGAAGATCTTAAGGTGACTCATAGCTTTTAGAGTGTTTTTTTAATGTCCTGTGTTTTTTAAGCTTTTATTTCCTGAAATGATGGGTATTACATTTTGATATTTCTCTTTTCAACTAAACTCTGAGCCGAATTTCCTAAAGCAATTTACTTCTGCGATGAACACCTGCCCTCCTCTCTTGCAGTTCTTTTGATGGCTCTCTTGTTTGCTGGCTCTTTGTAGCAGGTGTTTCTGTATCAGATCTATGTTTCCTGCTTCTTTATTATCAATTCAAATCAGACCAGTCCTATAAAAAATTAATAATAATGAGAGAATCTAAAGAAATCATGTGAGCGTCTGTGGAGGTATCAGAGGACAGTGGATTCAGATTCAGTCCACGCACAGTAGTGAAGTGGGGTGGGTTGGGGTTGGGGGGGGTGTTGTGTCAGGGTGCCCGCCTCAGCATCAGCCTTCTTCCTTTTTTTCCTCCTGATCTCCTCCCTCCTCTCTCGGCCCAACTCCTCCTCCCTCCATGAGCTCCTTTCATTCCCCCTAGCTGGTAATGAGTCCTGCTGCCTCTGATGTCAAGGTGAGCCAGGCTGAGGGAACAATGGAGCTGAGAGAAAATGTCAACCCTCTGTGCACACGCAGTTGTGCGTCTCTCTGTGTGTTTTCTGTGTATGTGTGTGTGTTCTCACGGGTTATTAAAGATCCTGTTCCCCTACACACACACTCACACAGCCCCTTTGAACCCCTGCAGAGGAATTAAGCAGCGCTGCCGCTCTAAAAGAGCCCTGTTCTTCCATCCTCCCACTCCTCCTCTTTCCTCTTTTGTCTTTCACTTCTCCCTGTAGGGTAATCTCGCTCTTTCTTTTCTCCTTTCTCTCTCTCTGTACGTCAACATTTATTTCCTTCTTTTTCCGCCTTTGCTCCTCACTGTTTTCCTTCAAGAGTGGTGATTATCAAAAAAAAAATCACCATGGCTGGGTCTAGCTTGTGAAAACATGTGAGATTCCAAGGCGGTGCTAAGTGAATATTGAGCAGTCTATTTCTCTGTCCTCTCGCTCTTTCTCTCTTTGATTCGCCCACAGCAGGTGAACATTCCTGCTCTGATTCTGATTGTTGTTAAGTGGTCCAGCCGATTGCAGCTCATGTCTCCAGCACATTGGTTTGTTAAACAGACCCCGGCTGTACCATCCTTATGGCACTCCAGCAGCAGGCGTGTGGTTCTACGAGGAAACGGCCTGGTTTATTCTTGGCAGACCCGGTTCAGATAGTATTTGCAAACGTTAGCTAGTTTGAGCATATCAAGGGAAATAATGGTTTGTATAACAGGCGATGTAGCGGTTAGCATTTTTTCTACGGATGAAAATAAGAATTTAGTTTGCTGAGATCTGGAAACATCAATAAGTAAAAGAACAAGAACACCATAGACAAAAAGAAAGGTTAAATATCAGTATTCTTCAGTAACAAGAAGTAACTGGTTCAG